CTCTCTGCTCTCTGCTCTCTGCTCTCTGCTCTCTGCTCTCTGCTCTCTGCTCTCTGCTCTCTGCTCTCTGCTCTCTGCTCTCTGCTCTCTGCTCTTATCTATTTTTCCAGTCTTCTCCTGCACCGGTAAGCTCTGTGTCTTGCTTCTCCGTTTTGTTCTGTATCTCTTTTCCCAATGTGTCTTTCCCTGTATCACTATCCCATTTTTTCTCATGCTTTCTGTGTCTTGCTGCTGTCTCTGTGTCTTCAGCTCCTTTTCGCTCCGCCTACATGGGCCTCGGGAGCTTGCCCATGTCCTGCTCCAATCTCAGTCCTCCTTCGTGACCACGCTTCGAGTCCCATCGTTCGTGTGCCCTCATTGTAGCCCAGCCTTGTGCATCCCTGTTCCTGTTCTAGTTCCTGTTTCTATTCCTACTCCTGTTCCTGTTCCTGTTCTTGTTCCTGTTCCTGTTCCTGTTCCTGTTCCTGTTCTTGTTCCTGTTCCTGTCTGCTACTGCCTTTATTCGTGCTCGTCTTCGTGCTTCGCCTCGTGACTGTGCTCCCTGGTCGTTCCTCTTCCCGTCCGCAAGTCCATCTCCATCTATCTTTCTGTCCGGTCCTATTGCGACTCTCGTGCCCCTACCCTGATTCTTGTTCCAACTTCTTCTCCACTGCTTTTTACTGTTACCACTCTTCTGTCTGTCCTTCCTTACATTCTTTTCTATGTGTCATTTTCTTCTCCCCTTTCTTGCACTATTCCCCTCTCCTATTACATTTCAGTCCTTGACTTGTCGCGGCAACTAACCCTTTATTGTCCTACTCCTCGAGCTTTCCAGTCATCCTGCTGTTCCGTTTCCTCACCAGTTCTTTCATTTCTCTTCCAATCGTCCTCGACCCACTTCTGCCCGCAGAGTTGTCTTGCCTTCATTGTCCATACTTGACGTGCCCTTCCTATCCCATCCAGGTGTCCTGCTGGTGATCCTCCTATTTCAAGTTCTTTTTCGTGTCCTTGCTCATCGTTTAGTTCTTTGCTCCATATCTTGCGCTCGATCTCTCGACTTCTGTGTTGTCCTTTCCCTTTGCTGTTCTCTTTGCCATCACCTTGTCTTTCGGAGTCTTTCCCTCCTCTCGCCTTGTCCCGATATTATCATCTGGCTATTGCTCTGTTTCCTACTCTATCTTTCTGCCTCCCTTTTCTCCCCCTTTTCGGCTCTCTTCCACCGCGATTACTCGTGCTACTTCCTGCCGGTTCTCACGCTCGAAATTCAGGTGAGTTTTTCTTTTCTGTGCTATAGTCTTCCTGTTCTCCCCTGTTCTATTCTCTCCTTGCCTCTTGCCTCTCCATGCCGTCCTCCGTTATCTGTTTTTGTGTTCATCTGCTTTGGGAATGTGTTCCTGCTCTCGTGGCCGCTTTTCGCAGATCTCGTCTTCGTGTCCATTATCTCCTCCCTGGCCCTTCTGACCTGTTCTTTTGTGTTCACGTGTGCTTTCAATCTCAGTGGTGTTCTTCCGTGCCTTTGGGTGTCTCCCGTCCTCATCATCGTGCGCCACTGCTCTGAGCCTGTTTCTCGTGCCCAGTCTCGTGATGTTCACTATTCTTGCCTTACATCTTCTATGCGCATTTTCCCCAGGTTTCGCGCTCTCGTGCTTCTGTGGTCTTCCCACGCCCACAAAGCTCTCGTGTTCGTGGCCAGTGTTTTCTCTTCTGCCCAGTGCTGTTTTGTGCACTGTGTCGCTCTCACTTTCTGCACCCAGTGTTCTCTCCATGCCCAGTGGTGCAGTTTCTAATTGCCTTGTTTTCTCGGTCATTTCTTGTCCATCTGCTTCGTCCAGTGCCGTCGCATATCTCTCTTGTCCAGTTCTCTGTTCAGATCTCTACCTCTCTTGTTTCTTTCTTTCGTGTCCAGTGTTCGTGTTCTCTCTGTTTCCAACCCTTTGACTTTACTTCGTGCCCAGTCTCGCTCTGTTTCAGTTCGTGTCCCGTCTTTCCTCCGCGCAGTGCTCTCACTGTTCAAGCTCCCTCTCCGTCTCTGTGTCTGTCTGCTTTCCAGTGCTCTCTGTTCCAGTGTTTCTCCCTCGTTTCAGTTTCCTCTCTTATGCTCAGCTTCCCCCTCGTGCCCATTGCTATAGTTCTTAGTGACCTTTGCTTTCTGTTTGTCCAGTGTTATTTTGTTCTCCTTGATCTCAGTCCCAGTGTGCTTCTCGTGCCCAGCATTTTCTCTCGTGCTTAGTGCTCTCGCTCTGATCCCGCCTTCTCCATGTCCCAGTGTGTTCTCTGTTTTCCAGTTTTCTGTCTCTTTTCCGGTGTCCTGCCTCTTTCCAGTTTTCTTCCTTGTCCATGCTCTCTTCCTTGTCTAGTCTTCTTGTTCTCGGTGCTGTCGTTCCAGGGTTCTGCTCTTTCCAGTGTTGTTCCTCTTTCCAGTGTTATTCCTCTTTCCAGTGTTGTTCCTCTTTCCAGTGTTGTTCCTCTTTCCAGTGTTGTTCTCCTTTGCCAATGTTCTCTCTCGCGCCCAGTCTTCTCATCTCGTGCCCAATTTCTCCAGTTCTCAGCGTTGTAGTTCCCATATCTGTCCCTTCCCCACTTGATCTTCTCCAGTGTTCCATGTTCTCGTCCAATTTCCAGTGGTCTCTCGTGGGTCCAGTGCTCGCGTGCCCGGTGTTCTCTCCCTTATGCAGTTGTCTTTTCGCTCTTCCAGTGATGTCTCTCTTTTCCAGGGTTGTCTCTCTTTTCCAGTGTTGTCTCTCTTTTCCAGTGTTGTCTCTCTCTCTTCCAGTGTTCTCTTTCGCTCTTGAAGTGTCCTCTTATCTAATGTGCTCGTCTGTTCCCAGCGCTGTAGTTTCCCACACCCTTTTTCATCTCCACTTGATCATCGCCAGAGCGCGTTCTTTCTTGGCCAGTGCCCCTTCGCTTGTCCCACAGTCCTTTCCGCTCTTCCAGTGTCTTCTTTTCCAGTGTTTTCCTTTTCCAATGTTTTCTTTTCCAGTGTTCTTCTTTTCCAATGTTCTTCTTTTGCAGTCTTCTTCGTTTCGGGTGTCCTCTTCTCATGCCCAGTGCCTGTTCGCTTTTTCGCTCTTCCAGTGTTCTTTGCCCTCTTTCAGCTCTGTTTCTCATGTCCATTGTTGTTGATTCTCACTACTGTAGTTCCCAATCGCCTTACTCGCGTTCTCGTGCCCAGTGCTCCCATCTTACGCCAAGTACCCTTGTTTGCAGTGCTCGCGTGCCCAGTGCTGTAGTTTCCCATTGCCATCGTCTCGTGCCAAGTGCTGTAGCTGTAGCTCCCAGTAGCCAATTCTCTTTTCTTGTTCTGTGTGCTTTGTTCTGTTCTGTTTTCTTTCTGTTTGTGTTTTTCCATCACTCTTCTGCCTTGAGCAGAGTTTGGAGGAGAAACCTCAGCCTAATAGTGCTACTGTTGTCTTGGCTTGCCTTGATGCTCATCATTGTTGTGTGCTGTTTCCCTTTTTACTTACTTTTTGATGCTTGTCTCATCGCCCTGATTCAATACTTCTGGTGATGATTGGATTGGTTTACCTGAAAAACCTGGCAAGGGCTAGGTAGTTGAAGAAATGGTGTTGGCGGAATTCTGAACGAGATTTGTGGTTCGATTTTTGACGCAGATACTTTGGTGCGTTCTCGCTACATCAAATATTGACCGTGACCCCGTCAGAACTCTACCTTGATTGTACCAAGGTTATGTCATGATTCTTCATGTGATTCGTGAAGGGGTTTGTATCGGAGTGCCTAAAGAATCACAACACGGACATATTGTGGATGACATTCTTGAACAGATTTAACAGATCATGTTCAATGGCCAGAACTTCTCCCCGCCGACTTCAGAGTTGGGCTGGCTGATACATCTGACCTTGAGTCAGAGATTGTGTTGGGATTGAACAGCTGCCTACAACGTACAGGACAAAATCACAGTTACAGGAACGACAAGATCTCAGATCATCACCATGTGGGCCCTGTGGGAATCTCGGATTCTCGAAGAGGGAAAAAATAGAGAGAACATCAAGACAGAAATCTCAGGACGCATATACCAAGCACTGAACCCCTTTGAATGGCCTATTCGCAGGACACAGACTGGCCAGATTATGGATTCATGCACTAACCAACAAACGAAGTACCTATTCATCAAAGTCTCCATCACCCTCCTCCAATCCACCACCATTCACACCACTCACACCATTACTACTTTGTCCGCCCGCCTCCCTAATTCTAGCCTCTTGCTTCCGATACAAACTCGCCAGAAACTCGTTCGTACTCGCCTCCTCAATCCCTTTATCCTCCCTAACCTTCAAAAACCTCGGGAACCGCATACTCAGTCCGCGGTCTTCATTCACAAGTCCAATGGCCGCCGTATACGTCGGACTAAGCGTGATATCCGCAAACGCCATCTCCCAGACCTCCTGGGGCTCGAACCAGACATCCGGCTCCGGACCAGAGTACTCGATATAAGCCGGTTTACGACCGAGGACATTATCTCCGCCCTGGGCGTATTTTTCCTTGTTGGCCTGGTAGAATTTATCGGTGAATCCCGAGATGCATTTCGTCACGACCTCAAGAGAACCGGTTTCGGGGTTCCGACACGCCAACAAGATGGGGGACCACCATTTCGCTTTTCGGCCTTGGCCGTGCCAGCCTGCCACAGGCACTAAATCGATCGTGTCGGCGGAGGTGGCGTAGTCTTTTTTCACTTTGAGCCATGAGTCGAGTCGTTTGTCGGGCTCGTAGGTGGCGAGAAGGGCTTTTCGGCGCGTAGTAGAAGTTTTGTCTCCATCTGACTTTTTACTACCCTTTTTGCTTGGAGTCACCGGGATAGTTGGATCTGCTTCTTCTGGTTCATTTGCGTCAAGGACAGGATTCTGGGCAGGCAGATTGTCCAGCACTTTGACCATGATGCCCTCGCATTTGATGTCTGTTGCAGATTTGAAAAATTCAAGCACAGTCTCCGAATCGGCCGAGGTCGCGTCGATGCTTTGGACCCAGGTGAAGTGGTGTTCCTTTTCCACAAACATGCTGCGTAATAGCGCGCGGCGTTCGCGAAATGGTCGGTCTAGGAGCTGTTCGCCGTTGAGGTACATTAGGTCAAAAGCAAATAGACACACGTCGATCTGGATAGATCCGATGTCGACGTCCTTTTTGGCGCGGTTGGTGAGGGTCTGGAAGGTCTTGAGTTCACCGGAGTTTCGGTCCACGGCGACTACTTCACCTTCCAGGATGAAGCTCGACACGCCGTCGCCTCGTATTTCGGGTACCAGAGCGACCAGGTCTGGATACTTGTCTGTCATGACTTCCAGGTGGCGAGAGAAGATGGACACTTTGCCCCGCTCGTCACAGTGGACTTGGGCGCGTTGGCCGTCGTATTTGAACTCGCAGCTGAAGTCGCGCCCTTGTAGCTTTGTCAGCATTTCGCTGAGGTCGCGGGTGATGCTGCCCAGCATGGGGCGCAGAGGGATATGTAGTGCCAGGCCGCAGCGGGCGAGTAGTTCGTCAGACACACCGACTTCCAGCAGACCAGGGACAAGGTCGTTGTAGTTCGGACGCCGGGCGAAGCACGTCTTGACGACTTCCTCGGCTTTCGCCCAGACTGTGGCCAACTCGTCTTTTTTAAGGGTGGCCAGGTCGGCGGCGTTTCGAACGGGGAAGTCTGCGCCTGCTGGACGAGATAGTTGGAACGCTCGTGCCAGTGCGATCAGCATGGTCGTCTTGACGGCGCCAATGCGCAAGTGCTGCACCAGTGTCCGGACAATATATCGACTTTCTTCGGGCCCGCGGGCGTCTTGCAGCAGCCGTTCTACAAGCCGCTGTTTCTGCTCCACGCTCCCATGGCCTTTGCTGTTTGCGATCTTGACCAGTGTCTGATATGCCCCCTTGATGGTGAGAGGCTTTGGTTTCCGCAGTGTGAAACTCTGTCTCTTTTTCGCTTCGAACGCCACGTCTCCTGCGTCTCCGTGCTTGTCGTAGAGGTTCTTCAGCCCGGCATTGTCGAGCCCGCACACCTTCTTCAGGGCTTTCGATATTGCTGATCCGCCCAGGCCGAGTTCTAGAGAAATGTATGGTGGCGAGATCGAGTTGGTCGCAAGCCAGACCGCTGGGAGCAGACTGTCTGGGTCGGCTTCGATGAGGGTCCTGAGACAGTTGACCAGCGTGTCGACGATCTTGATTCGACTCTGCGTCGAGTTGACGAGGACAAAGCATCTTGTTAGTAATGCATAAGATGCGTCGCCTCCATCTGCTGACCAGTGTCGTCTCAGCTCAGACACATATTTGCCCGGTTCGAACGTCAGCGGACTTTGGTCAAATGGTATGGTCAATGTGGTTGTATCTTCCTCCGATGCCGTGGATTGGAGACCGAGGACATTCTTCTGCCACACAGTACGGTTCGGTTGTGCCTCCGCGACAGGATCAGGCTCTTCAAGCGCAGCCGCGACAAAGTCTTTCACATCGTCTTCCGCCTTGTGCTTGGTATCCTCAGCACGGCTGGACGGTACATGGCCGTTGGATTCTTGTTCGTCCTCCCGGGCCCATTCTTCTTGTAGTCTTCGAGCCAACTCTTCGTCTGATAGGGCTTTCTCGGAGGTGCTCTGATCGCCTTCAAGGAATGACTGGTCTTTGACTATCGGGTCCCCATTCGGCAAAGCGCTGTTGGCAGTCTTCGTTGTCTGGTCAGTCGGTTTGCGAAAGAAGAAGTCGAGGCTGCGGTGTTGGACCGCGGCGGGCTTCGAGTCGTTCTTCTTCCGCCGCTTCGAAGGGCTGTTCATGATGATATGAGTTGTAGTTACCGACAGCGTCGTCGGCGAGACGACGAAAGGACTACTTGACGACCATTATGTTGTTGTTGACGGGGTGCATGATTGACATAAACAATATATTGGATCGAGTGTCAGCGTCATCGGGTCTTTTTTGGCGGTTGATCGCGTCTCCAATCGCAATGACGCGTTTGAAAGAAAGACACTTCAACTTCATTAAGTCCTCGCCTGAGTCTTCCACCACAAACCGCGGCGACTTTTACTGTTGCAAATCTGCCTCGCACATTGTCTCTGTGCTCATTCTTGGACTTGGGACAGCATGGCCGATCTACAATTGACCCGGACCGGCGATGTTCACATCAGAGTACAAGACTACCTCGACGACCAGATACAGACCGCAGCGGACCTCGAGCAGGTGGATAATCTGCTTGTCAGGGTTCAAGAGCAACAAGACCTATTGAGAAAACAGGTAAGATCTCTAGGACTGCCTGTAGCTTCTAGTCCTGACAGCTGTGGGTTAGCTTCGAAGTGCACGAGAAAGTCTGCGAGATGCCCAATCCCGGGTTGAGGAGCGGTCCAACGACCTGAGGACAAAAGCCGAAGCTTTTCAAGCCCAACAGGCTGATTTCAACCGACGCCTCGAGGCCCTTGCCCTATCGGACGCCAGTGATGAAGCCACCAGCAAGATTGAGGCGCGAATGAGCAAGGTCCGCAACCTCGAAATAGCCCAGGGATATCTTGAACTTGTCCAGCAATTGAACACTCTGCGGAACGAGGCCAGACAAAATCTCTCCGCGCACCCGGAGGTATCTTTGCGTGCCTACCTTCGCCTGCGGAGCCTATGGCAGCATTTGCAAGATGCCCAGCCAGCCGCCGAGGGGGCTGCGCCTCAGTTGTTGTACATGTTTGAACAGGAGTCAAAGGACCTTTATACTCAAATCAAGGCGGTACTCGAGGCCGCTCTTGCAGAGACCCTGGAGCAGATGAAGTGGCCCGGGAAAGAGTTGAATATGTCCAATACCAACGAAAAACAATGGAAGCAGCAGGTTGAACTGCTTTTGCAGCTCCAGGAACCTGATTTGATCGCCTCCTTCGGCGACAAGCTCGCTACTGGCCCTTCTGTCTCCGTCGAACCTGTCGTTCTGCTTCCTTTGGAGGCCATGGTGCAACCTCTTACCGTCCGATTCCGGTATCATTTCTATGGAGAGAGGCCGACGAACCGGTTGGACAAACCGGAGTATTTTCTCACTCACATCCTGGATCTCCTTGATCGACACAGCGCATTTATGTCAGACATGCTTGGACCTATATTGGACGAGCGAGCACGGGCGTCTGAGGCCTTGGAATCCATCTATACTGACGGAGTATCCGCCTTCATTACTGCCTTGCTCCCTGTGGTGATTGAAAAATGCTTGTCTTTTCTTCCGCAAATAGCCCGAGAGCCACAGCTCCTGTCTCATTTCATGCATGAGCTCATGGCGTTTGACACAGCCATTCGAGAATCATGGGGATATATGCCGATCCCCCGAATGTTGACAGAATGGAAAGGGGTAACATGGATCATTTTGGAAAAGCATGGCTATTTCGCTCCATGGCTGGCTGTCGAGAAAGATTTCGCATTGTCTCGCTACAAGAGCATCAGAGACGCACCTGATAGCGGAGACGTTGACTTTGACGCCGATGCCACGCAAACCAAACCCACAAAGGGTGCAATCCGCCTAAACGATCTTCTGGAAACCATCACAAATCGATATCGAGGTCTCTCTTCTTTTAGCCAGAAAATGAAGTTTCTCCTGGACATCCAACTATCGATTTTCGACGACTATCATAACCATCTACACGGTGCCCTTCAAGCCTACCTTGTTGCTTCCCACACCGCCGGACGGCTGCTGCACGGCGGATCCGAAGCCGACGCATTCGGTCTGAAAGGACTGGAGTCGTTGGCCAAGATCTACGGAAGTGCCGAGTTTCTTGAACGCAAGATGTCGGATTGGAGTGACGATGTCTTCTTCTTGGAACTGTGGGATGAACTTCATTACCGAGCCAAAACCAATTCGGGTGCCAATGCCTCCATTGGGACGAACTTGAGAGTAGATGATGTGGCAGCAAAGACATCCAATTCGATCAAAGCGACCGAGTCCTCTGACGCAGACGGAGATGCTGGTGGAAGTGGGCTCTTCGATCAGACGGCTCTTGCGTACCGCCGACTCCGTGAGCGCTGCGAGGAAGAAATCCATCGTGCATTCGAAGTCAACGTGCGTGCGGCTCTCAGGCCGTATGCAAAATATGCACAGTGGTCCTCTTTGATCGGGACACCGTCAGACGCTTTGTCTACGGCACCATCCCCGAGTCTTGATGGGTTCTTCGAGACCACGGCTGTTCTTCTGGGCTATTTGGCCCGAGTCCTCTCCCCTGTGTCGATGCGTCGAATCACCAAGCATTACTGTGCAGCGGTGCAGCGGGAGATATACGACAATGTCCTCATGCATCATACCTTCTCAGCTGCAGGCGCAGCTCAACTCAAGCGAGACCTGGGCGCAATTGAGGAGAGTATTGCAAAGACCGCCAAACTGCCCGGCGTCATTGGCGCTAGTATGAAACGGCTCGAAGAAGCAGTGTTTCTCCTTTCGCTGAATTCGGGCATAAATCCACAGCGGAATTTGGCCGATGGCGAAGAGGATGCTTGGGGCTTCGGGGACGGCGACGCCGAAGGTGAGGAAGTTGTACCAGAACAAGGCACCACTTCAAACCAAAATGATGGTTCTGGTGATGGTGAATCCGGAGAAATGGGTCTCTGGGATGCCGAAAAACTCATCTTCGAGAGTAACGAGGCTGCCAGGAAGGCTCTGTCGGATATGGGCCTCTATCACCTTAGCGAAGGAGATGCCAGAAACATATTGAAGCGCAGAGTGGAACTCAACGGCTGAAAGAAGCTAGACTCGAATATGTTCAAGAAGTCTTCGTATCCCTCATGGAAAGACGGCCGACATTGAGTTGTTGAGGGATTTGGACGAGGGCAGAAAAGAGACCTCTGGCTGCCACTCGTTCAGCCTTGCTAGTCACGTGAACCGGTGACCTAGGTTTCACGTGACTAGCCCCTGACGAGGCTGTGAGTCGTGTTAACTCTCCAGCTCAGTACACTTGCTTACCTTCCACTCAGCCCCTTTGACTGGGACAGCGGTCTGTCAACTCTATGCTCTGTCAATCTATGCTCTCAAGAAGCTACCATACGCCTATTTCTTTATATATACCACAATATTACAAACAAATCCTTGAAGATTTACTTAGCAATATACACTCGAAGGCTAGATGATGCCTTGTCTCTTTTCCCCTTCTGGATCTGCATCTCCTCCAATCCACGCCAGATTTTGTATTGCCGCCAAGCCATACAGCGCGGAAAAATTGGTCGTGATCCAAGGGATTTCCACCGTCCCCGGGATCAAAGTCTCAGTCGACTTGACCACTTCCGTCCGCCACTGGCAGCGAAGGTCATCATGTGAATCATGTCCATAGCCTTCCAAAGTCAAGAATTCCCCCCATGCTCGTCGGGCAAGTTCATGGTCGCCGAGCTGACGAGCCGCATACGCCGTTAATCGAGAATGGCCCTGGCCGAGCTGAGTTGCTCCAAAGGCGACGCCATACCGTTCGATCTGTTGGGAGGGGTCCGCATTGAAGTAGCGACAGTAATCCAGCCAGACACTCCTAAAGCCCCCTTCGTCAGGGAACAGAGAAATCAATTCTGAGCACACTTCCACCAGTCCAAACATTGCCGACAGATGAGAGACCTGGACTTGTCCGACACCATCATCGAACACGGGCTTGATGGTACCTGTAGGAACATGGTACAAAACCGTTCCTGTGACGAAACCATTTTTGAGCTGAGCAATGCCACGGATCGATTGGAGGAGTTTGGATCTAGCAAGGTCAGAACGAGGACCATTTCTTTCCCACTCTATCAGCCACGATGCCGCCAGAGCCGACCAGTCTGTTCCAAGGGAAATGATGGCCGTGTCGGAAGATCGAATGTCTTGAAGGTCCTCTCGCACTTTGCGATAGGGATTGAGCGTCAACAAAGTCTGTTCGCCTTCCAAGGTCTCGCTCAACAGGTCACCTACTCTCTCGTCACCTCCGGAGATGTAGAAATAGAACCTACGGTAAAGAGCGTTGGAGATGCGGAGCTGTTTACAGCTGTCGGACCAATGTTGAACGCCGTGTCGAGTCCCAAGCCCTTTCCATTGACCCGTGTGATAGACGTCGACATCGCCGGTATGTCGAGTCAACGCCGAAGCCATCTTGTAGACATCATAACGTCCTGTGCGTAGGAAATACAACCACAGCCACAAGTCGGGTGACAGTTCGGAGTTGTCCCACGCGTAGCCTCCAACGTCGTACCGCCATGTGTGACGGGTCGTGTCGTAGGTGTGCATGATGTCGCCGTAGTCCCAGAATCCGTACCAGCGCCTTTGCTCGACTTCGGCTTTGTAAAAATCGAATAGGAGGTCCAGGTTGCGGTTCAATGTTGCTTCAAATTCTGTGTCTGGAGTGCCGGGGTCGGGACGGGGTTTCCAATATGTGCCTAGTGCCCCCGTCTCGGCGAGATACGTTCGATCAGCAATGAGAAGCGGAGGGTTGCGCATATCATCCACCATGGATGCTAGGCCATCCCAAGCCAGTGAAGATGTCTCAGTCGCGGATAAGTACAGCTCGTTGGTCCGGGCGACGCCATAGGGAGTATCGTGGCCTTGCTCCCAGTCTTCATACGTGATCTTCAAAGCATCAAGCTGGTCGTCATAAGTTTGCTGGCCTAAGCCGTCGTGGTAGGGGCGCATGTCCATCGCTCGACCTTCTGGGCTGTAGAGCCACAATGTCACTCCGGCTTTGTCTTGTGTTGCGTTTCTGACATCGATTTGAGTCGGAAATCTCTCCCAGAAGTCTCTCATCCCCAGCGTGACGACACCTCGCTGCGCGGTTCCCATGCATACCAGCCCCCCTGCGCGGGTTCCACTGGCACTACGCACCCAGCTGCAGCCTTTCTTCGTTCTTTTCCGGATCTCAAACCCATCAGGGGAGAGTTGAGTGAGTGTGTAGTCATTCCATGCAGGCACCCATCTAAGTCTACTTTCGAACACTGGATCCCCAATCTTGTCGATGTGCTTTCCTGACCGCTGCGCAGAAAGAATATTTTCTCCTGGGTTCATCCTCAGTCCTGACAAGCCTTGAACAGATTCGGCGAATTTTCCTTCTCCAACTCCTGCGAACTGGATGTGGCGGTTGAAAAGTGCTTCACGGCTCATGGACACTTCGAGGCGCAACCCGATCCCTGTGACAAGTGTTTTGTGGGCATCGATGTCGAAGACCAGCGTGTGCACGATCCGCACTGTCGGTGAACCAACGTAGAGGTAGAACCGGAGGATGAATGGTAGTAGTGGTGCGGCCGAGTCGGTGGAGTTGTCTTTGTGGTTGCCGCGCACAGCGACGACTGCTCGGTATGGGCCATTCTGTTCGATGACTATGTTTGAGATTTGGCTGATTAGTGTATGGCTTCGAGCCGTTCCGTTGTCGTGGTTATCGACGACATCACTGTCTGCGCCCTGACCGCGCGAGATGGTCTTGGTCTTTAAGATCAAGTGACCATTGCCAGCAAGATCCCCTTGACCAGGCAGCCAAATCTGTCTAATCACATCAGATCCAGACTTTGAGAACGAGACTCTGGCAACCCCAGTGTCGACTTCAACCGTATCAGACAGATCTAGAATGGAGATTGTCGGACCTTGGGGCGACGAGGATCCAGTCCGGGAGGATGGACCCGAATGAGATGATTCTTTCGCTATTGTTCGAGAAGCGACGATCGTGTATTCGTCGTCAAAAGGTGCATGGGCCGATATTGCGTGAGCCGTCCACTTGATCGACTGATCTGGCCAATATGCGGTAACCCAGCTTTGGAGGGGTATGGACTTTTCGCCATTGTCCAGACAGCGAAAATCAGTATCCTCCGGCGGCAGCTTCCCTCTAGGCCACGGCACTCCAAAGGCCACTCCGTTGACTCTTCGATCACGAGGCTTGCGTAACCATGATAGCTTCACCCTCTGTTGCACGGAATTCATGAAGACGACTTGAGTTGGAAACCCAATCAGTATGCTCTGTTCCCACCCGACAGCGCTGAAGTGTGCCAGAAGCCAAGATACATCGACTAGCCTGGCCAGGATATAGTAGTTCAACTTCGCTCACCTTTTGCCGCGACAATGAGCCGGTCCGGGGGCTTTGGCCGTTGATGAGCAAGACCTGGTGTGAGCCATGTGCGATTGCCGGTAAGGCGTGATTTGTTTCGGAAGTTGCGTTCATTTACTTACGCGTACACCTATCCTTTATGCTTATCTTTTGGATAAATGGGGTTTCTTGAAGGCCTTTTTTTCGACGCCAAATGATCGTAATGGCACCGTACAGTCTCAGGTGGATCTTTCACGGACAAACTAGTCCAGCAGCGCGGGTGAACAAGTACCGAGATGTGCGGCGGGAAGGGTTCCTCAAAGTATACTTATCAAGACCCTTCTCATCACGAAACATGCCCCTATATCGCGTTTCCAGCAGGACCCACTCTGATTGGTCCGGACGAGGCATGCCATCGGAGATGGTCTGCATTCAGTGCGTTTTACCTCTACCAAGCATCAAAGCTTACCTGGTTCTGGGCGAGAGCTTAGAGCAATAGTGAGATGATACATTGCTGATCCAGGCTCGACCATGGCCAGTGGAGACGGCGAGAGGTGTCGAGGTTCGATCACCGCGGAAATACATATAAATGATACTTTTCTGTGCGAGACGGCAATGGCAAGTAACAACCTGTGAGTCCAGTGTTTCCAGTCTTGAGAACTTGGCCTGCTTTCTCTGACTACAAAAATGGGCCACCAAGACCCCCTTCCAACCGTGGAAGACAAAGGCGTCTTCGAAGTCAACACAGAACAATTCGGCTCGCCGCATGCTTCCACTGGCCAACCCAGCAAGCTGGGAGATCTTGCAGAGCCTGAACAGCAAGATATTGGCACGTTCTCCTCACTGTTCAAAGTTTCCAAGCATGACCCGGACGCCATTGCCACGGTCAGGAGTGTCTTTGATGACCCAGACCTGGCACCCTACTACCAACCACGGCCGGACTATGAAAACATCCACCGCTTCGACCCCGATGCTCGCTGGACGTACCGTGAGGAACGAATTGCGCGACGAAAGGCCGACTTGAAGATTTTGTCTTGGATTCTGGTCATGTTCTTCGCCCTGAACATTGACCGCGGAAACTTGTCGCTGGCGGTCTCGTCGACATTACTCAAGGATATCCACATCAATACCAACGACTATAACAATGCCCAGAACATGTACCGGGTTGGATTTCTGATTGCGGAAATTCCCTCGCAACTTATTGGCAAGAAACTCGGTGTGGACCGGTGGCTTCCTGTGCAAATCATCTGCTGGTCGCTGGCCTCGGGCGGGCAATTCTTCATGCACAACCGGGCGGGATTCTATGCATGCCGCTTCTTCATTGGCCTGTTCATGGGCGGCTTCATCCCAGACAGCATCTTGTATCTGTCGTACTACTTCACCCGGCGAGAGATGCCGTTTCGACTCGCGCTGTTCTGGTTCACCGATTCCATGTCCGGCGTGATCGCGGCGTTCATTGCCTATGGCGTGCTGCACATGGACGGTGTGGCCGGGCGAGAAGCATGGCGGTGGCTGTTTATGATCGAAGCCATCATCAGTATGGTCATTGGCTTCCTGAGTTTCGTGTTCTTGGTCTCTGGCCCCACGCAGACCAAAAGCCGTTTGTTTCCCAATGGCTGGTTTACCGAGCGCGACGAGACCATCATCGTCAACAAAGTCCTGCGCGACGACCCGTCCAAAGGTGACATGCACAACCGACAGGCCATCACGGCGCGCATGCTGTGGAAGAGTCTGTGCGACTATGACTTGTGGCCGGTCTATGTGATCGGGATGCTGTTCGAGATCCCGGGCGCCCCTCCAAAGGCGTACCTGACCCTGGCCCTCAAGCATCTGGGATTCAACGCGTTCCACATCACCTTGTTGACCATACCCGTCACCGTCTTCGCCGCCCTCAACATGCTGTGGGTGACCGCCCTGACCGAGCGTGTTCGCCAGATTGCCATCATCGGCCTTTTGTGTCAAGTCTGGATTTTGCCCTGCTTGATCGTCGACTATGTCGCCGTTGACAAGATCTCCCACTGGGCCCAGTATGCGGTGTCTTTTATTCTGCTAGGCTATCCTTCCGTCCACGCCGCCCAGGCCGGTTGGTGCAGTCGTATGAGCGGTTCCGTCCGCACCCGTGCCGTCAGTGCCGCTCTGTATAATATCACCATTCAACTCTCTGGGATTGCATCGTCAAACATTTATCGGAAAGATGACTCGCCCAACTATCGCCGTGGAAACAGGCAGTTGATTGCCATCTGCGTGGCCACCATTGTTGCGTACGCCCTGGCCAAAGTTTACTATATGTGGAGGAACAAGCAGAAGCGGACCCGCTGGAATGCCATGACAAAGGAGGAACAACAGCATTACTTGGCCACCACGAAGGATGAAGGGAGTAAAAGATTGGATTTCTTATTTGAACATTGAAGAAGGTACAGCGAAGCGCAACACTAACGTACATGAATGCCACAGTGGAGAAGGCGGGAATGAAAATAGGAGGAGCGAAAGAAAGACAACAACTCGAATGTATATTTTGAGCTTTATAGACCAGGAGTTGTGCTTTGAGAAAAAAGCATCGACCGGCGTGGACCATTTCCATTCAGTTTCAGTCAGACCAATATTGATCTTTTACGGTTTCCTTGGTGAATTATCTTTTAGATTTCTCTGGTAGATTCCGTAGATTGTCAATGTCCAAGTCGAACCGATCAGGGACGACCATGCCAGCATCTAAATGATGCTTGATGAACCGCAACGACACGCCATCGCGGTAGAGCCACGGATCGCCCGTCTCGCGCTGCCACTGTTCCAGCCGGGCCCGGAACTCCAGGAGAAGAGTACAGTAGGACTCGTCAGAGACCAGATTGTGAATTTCATCAGGGTCGGTTTCAAGATCGTATAGTTCTTCTGGGGGACGGAAAAAGTAGTCTTTGGCCAATCTTTTGCCGATGGTGATGTTTCGAGACGAGCCGGCCGGCCCTGAGTTGCGGATGCCTTCCCATGTCAAAGAGCCGTACAGGTCCGCCGAAAAGGGGAAATCGAGTCGCCACGCCACGTTTCGGTGGTACTTGTAGCGTCGGGTCCGGAGGAATCGGGTGGGCCAGTAGTTTGTGACTTCGTGGAAGGTGTGTGAGCCGAACACGTGGTGTGGCCAGCCGGAGGATGAGGGGAGGATGTTTGTTTCTGTCAGAATGGGTAGGATGGAGCGCCCGGTTAGAGAGTGGGATGGGAAGTTGGGAAGTGGGTTGGCGGTGGTTAGGGGACTGATGGGGATGTTGGCCCAGTCTAGAAGTGTGGGTAGGATGTCGATGTAGGATATCATGTTTGGGTTGATGATTCCTTTGTCATTGCTGGTGGTGCTGGTATTGGCGGTGTTGGTGTTGGTGTTGCTGATGGTGGTCTCACCAGGTTTTTGACTTTGGTCAGGTCGCCGAACAATAAAAGGAAGATTCACACCGGCATCATAAAGCGTAGTTTTTGAATTCAGAAACGGCGGCCCATTATCACTCAAAAACACGACCAGCGTGTCTTTCTCTCGGCCGGCCAGCCGTAGCTTTTCCAAAATCAACCCCACTCCCTGATCCAACCGGCTAATCGACTCAAAGTACTCCGCGAACTCGAGGCGGGACTCGTCAATGTCGTTGATGTAAGATGGGATATTGATTTCAGAGCGGTCATAACGCACTGAGCGGACTCTAGGGTTTGTTGCTTGTTCGGCATTGCCGAACCCTGATCGCGTCATGTCACGATGCGGATCGATGTAGCCTACTGTTAGAAAAAAGGGCTTTTGCGTCTTGTTCGCCTGATCGAAAAACTTCTCGGCTTCATCTGCCACCCATGCCACGTCGCGTGAGGAGCTTTCTTGACATACTGTCCATGGGTAAGATGATTTTGGACCCACGTGTATCTTGCCGATGAGGCCGGTTAGGTACCCTGCGGCGTTGAACAGCGCGGGAACAGTTTGGATGTGGTCGAAGATGACGAAGTGATGCGCTTTACCGGCGAGTCCGTATTGGCCGCTTTGATGGGTGTGGAGGCCTGTATAGATGACTGAGCGGCTGTTGCTGCATGAGGCGGTGCTGGTGAAGGCGTGGGTGAATAACACTCCTTGCGAGGCTAATTCGTCGATGTTAGGTGTGTTGATTGAGGATTCGCCGTAACAGCCTAGGTTGCGGCCCAGATCGTCTGCGATCAGGAGGAGGATGTTTTTGTGTGAGGCTGAAGCCTGAGGGGGTGTGGTGGATGCCATGATAGAGTATGGTTGGACCTTGCCGCTTGCAGGGGATGCGGATGGTATCTGAGAACCGTGATCAGGTTGTCGCTGTCGTTGACCTCAGGAAAGCCGCGGCTCGATCTCTGTTGGATCTTATTATCCTCTCAGATGATATCTATCCTGGCTTTAAAATGTCTGCCACTGGCAGCGCGTTTCGCTCCATGGCGTGATTGACCCAGAATGCGTGCCCTGTGTTGCATTACCGCAATGTAGTAGTAATTTAGCATGTTGCAAGGCTCCATGGGTCAATGCCCCGTCTTGAACCCACTGATTTCTTCGGAGTAGATATGACCGATCCCATGAAGATAAGCGACCCACCTACAGTCCGGTCTCGCCGCGGAGACACATTGTAGCAGGTTGTCTTGCTCCGAAGCCGTACCGGCCGGCCGTCCGCATTGGACTCCCTCTGTATTGACCTTTGACTGCTTTGGCAGCCATTCTTCTTGTGTACCAGCGAAGGTATGGCATGTTTGCCGTTTCATCGATTTGCCGAGGCATACTGGGGCAATCTTCCTCGTCAGACCTGCTCTGCTGGCTGATTTATCGTTGTGGATGAGTATGATGCGTGGACAGCGATTGGAGTTGTTCATTTTGTACAGCGGCTCTTCAGATAATGGCAATCCCACCACTGGCAACGGTGTCCTGACATTGGATGGCCTAACAGCTCGTACGAGGAAGGACCTTTGAGAAGCCCTGAGGAATCTTGGAGTCGAACTATAAACGTCGACCTCGCCAAGACCAGGAGGCGTCTCCCGAAGGGACTGGCAATGGCGGTGAGCGCTCAGAATGTGACAAACCTGGCCTAAGCCGTTGCTGCTCTGTGGTGAAAAGACACACTTTAGGAGGAATGAAGACTGGGACCGTAAATGTTTGAGAAGAAGAGTTACTATGTCAATGATTGTACAAATAAAATCCAGAAGATTGACAAATTGGCGACACCGGCCCCGTCCCCACTCTCAGTTCGCGACATTGATCAGCATCGACTTCACGCTGAGATACTCTTCAATACCCTGGCGGCCGCCTTCTCTGCCATAACCGCTCTCCTTGACACCACCGAATGGGCTCTCACATGCACTTAGCAGCCCAAGATTGACACCAACCATACCGACCTCCAAAGCTTCCGTTACTCGCCATGCTCTTGGGATATTCTCCGTGATGATGAAGCTTCCCAAACCCACATCGCAATCGTTGGCCATTTCGAGAACCTCTTCCTCGGTGTCGAACTCATACAGACCGACGACCGGAGCGAATGTTTCTTCACGGGTGGTGATCATTTCTCGGTTCATGTGCTTGATGATGGTCGGCTGGAGGAAATATCCCTTGTAGTCGGTCAAGGGGCCTCCTCCGAGGACGACTTGGCCACCATGTTTCTTTGCATCTGTTGTCCCGTCAGTATTTGCTTCCACAACGAAAAGCCCGTGTACGAGTAAGACAGGAACGTACCATTGATATGATTCATAGCCTTCTCGACGGCACGTTCGTGCGTCAAGGGCCCCACAAATACCCCATCCTCGGTACCAGGGCCGACTTTAAGTGTCTTAATTCTTGCCGTCAAGGCCTCGGCGAATTTATCGTAGATTCCCTTCTGCACGAATATGCGGTTTGCCGTCACACAAGTCTGGCCCGAGTTACGGAACTTGGCCATAATGCATGCCTCCACTGCTGTTTCGAGTTTGGCGTCGTCAAACACGATGAACGGACTGTTCCCTCCCAGCTCGAGAGAGAGCTTTTTGAGCGTGCCGGCACATTGACTTGCGAGAAGTTTACCAACTCGAGTGCTTCCGGTGAAACTCAGTTTTCGAACCAATTTGTTCTTGCAAAGGGCCTCTCCGACCTCAGCCACCTTGTCCAGAGTGGTGATGACGTTGATCGAGCCCTTGGGGAAGCCGGCCTCTCGCGCGAGGATAACCTGCGCAAGCGCGCTCAATGGTGTCTCGCCTGCTGGCTTCCAGACCGTTGTGCAGCCGGCAGCGAGCGCTGCTCCCACTTTCCGTGTGATCATGGCAATGGGAAAATTCCAGGGGCTCAGGCAAGCCGCGACACCGACCGGTTGCTTGAATGTCAGGATACGTTGGTTGAGGTTTGATGATGGTACGACTTCGCCGTGGACCCGTTCTGCTTCGCCGGCGAACCATTCGAGGAAGGATGCTGCGTATGTTACTTCTCCTTTTGCTTCGGCCAGAGTTTTGCCATTCTCGAGCGTCAGGATCAGTGCGAGGTCGTCGGCGTTTTCGAGACAGAGGTCGCTCCATTTGCGCAGCCATCGTGCCCGTTGTCGGGCGGTGGTTTTTTTGTAGGTTTTGAATGCGGCGTATGCTGCCTCGACGGCCTTATTGGTGTCTTCGGCCCCCATTTCTGGTAGTGTTGCGATTTTGTTCAGGGTGGCTGGGTCGTAGACATCGAATGTCTTCCCGGACGCCGCGTCCACCCATTCCTCGTTGATGTACCCTTTTTGCTGGAACAGGTCCTTGCGTTTGAGGTCGTTTAATGTTTTGGGAGCCATGGCTGGCGATTTACCGAAGAATGATCGGGGTATGGTCGACTCAGTTTCTTGCTGTGGCTTTTCCAGATCACGCAGAAGACGGACCTCGTTCAATAGTAACAGGAGAAGCGAAGCTCCGTCCTGGTAGAAGAAAATCAAGTCCTTATACCCCAACCCTCATCGAGCTGTAACTCGAGCATTGTGGACGAGACGGACATCCACTCCCCCACATTGCAATTGTTGGAGGGGAGGACCCTGCTCTGATGCGGGGGATATCGACGTTGACACGGCCGAGGCAAGCGAGACAATTCCGAGAATATGTCGGAGGATGATGTGGAGAGGTTGCCCTACGAGAGGAGCTCAATTGGCCGAGTTCGCCTTTCGAGACGGAAACGACGAATAGTGAAGCAACGTTGGATGCCCATCTCTCGGAATCTCATCTTGAGCTGCGACCAGGTTCCCGATACCGGATAACGGCATAAGCAAGATGGAGCATTGATGCCAGGAGATTGGAGCATCGACATGGAGTGATCCTACCACGTTCAACCCAGAGATTCGGGAATGGAAGGCAACCCTTCTCCAAGACATTGTCGGACCGCCAGCGACCAGCCTCGCCAGGGTCTTGCCAGGCGACTTACCCGCTAGATTTCCATGTATGTGTATTTACCTCAAGCGATAACATTGCCAGAATGAAGCCGCTAATCACGGTGCGCGTCTATCAAGGGGTCAATTAGCAGCAAATTTGAACGTCCCTTGGCTACCGTGACCAGTATTTAGTCAAGTCTAGGCCTGAGCGTGGCTGAAGCTGTTATTTGGTGCCGCCGCGCCACATTCAGGGATCATAGCAGTCACATCAGGAGTCTTGACCTTGGGCGCAAAGCAGCGCGATTGAGACTGTAGGAGATTTGCAGCAGGCCGGGCGGGAGTTTGTTCGGTTCTCAATCATGCAGCCGACAATAATAATAATATGGTTGGTCAGCCGCCGAGGCAGCCTGGCAGCTTGGAATGTCCCATTGTCACATCGAGATGGCGCCGGCATTGTCGCTAACCTGGCGGTCTCAGCGGTTCCTCAAGGGGGTTTTAAACTATAATAAGCTGATTCCGGGGCTGAACGCACCCACGTGGAGATTGCTTGACGTCTAATCTGGCCAGTTCTTCCAGGTTGTTGATGATGTTGACATTTTGTCCTTTTCAGCTGAAAGCGCCGAGTTATCGAATTTTTGCAGTTGCGACCAAAATCCGGTTGGGATTCCAATAGTTCACTCCTCATTCTCATTCAAAGGTACGGTATGTTTGCCTGGAAACCTTTTGATGGCAGATTGGCCCTGCACACTTCCAAAATCAGCCCAAGGCGGACGGGAACTTCCATAAATTGATGCCATGGCTACGCCGAGAACCCCAAGAACATATCTCGCTAACCTGGCGTCTGGGCGTGAACCAAGGTGTCGACCTTCACGCCTCTGGCTGGCATCTTGCTCTACCCTTCGCTGCCATCAGGAGCAGCCTTTATTAGCACTAGAGAGTAAGCCACAGCTGAACAGCCAGCCCGTGTTTCCCTTTGCTCAGTGCGGCCACCTATCAGCCAAAAGAGCCTAGACCGGACCAGAGCAGAGCATGTTTATGGTTCGTCTAGATATGTCTAGCTCGATGTGGAGACGAACAGTAGGTGCCCCTGGGACCATTGGCTTGGAAAGACAAGGCTTGCTTGCGATTGACCTGGTTGCCCTGATTCCCTACCACTGACCAAGTGCCCACGCCACGGCTGAGATGAGAGACATGTCTTTTTGGCCCCCCGAATCCAATTGATGTGGTGTGGTGGTTCTATGTCTGGGCCTGCTATATTAAGCATCTCCAAGACCTTGTTATCTCAGCTGTGTAAGTTAGGTGGGTTTGGCACTCGTCAATCCTGTTATATTTGCGGTGTATCTCAAAAGGGGGAACGGCTTAGGGCTTCGCTCTCCGTTTCTATATCTGAATCCGCCGCGGAAGCAATTCGTCGTCTGCGGCTCTTCATTTCCAATTCCTTAATACTTGCCACTCCGCCCAACGTTCTCGCCCTGGAGAATGGGACTCCAGGTTGGTATCGTCGGTGCCGGTGTTGCCGGGTTGAGTGCAGCTATCGCTTTGAGGAGGATTGGGCACGATGTTGAGGTCTTCGAACGATCTCAGTTTAAGAATGAGAACGGTGCCGCCGTCTCCCTAACTCCCAATGGGGGCCGCATACTGGAGGACTGGGGGTTCGACGCCGTCAAGGCAGGCGGAATTGAGAACAAGCAGGTGAGTTTCCAAACTACCTCTCCTAGTCTCCTGATAGAGGAGTCTTCGTCTTCCTTTGGACCAGTAAAGTGTTGGGGTAATGGCTGACAGCGATCAGGCCCGTCGCCCAAAGGGAGACACTCTCGAACCAATGGCTCCTACGATCGACTTTGGAAATGTGGAGCAGCTGTACGGCAACAAATGGCACTTCTACCACCGTGTCGACATGCACCGACATCTCAGAGAAATGGCCGTGGCAGCCGGAGCCACAATCAGACTCGGCAAGCAGGTCATGGATGTGGATCCTGAGAACGGGATGATAGACCTGAGGGATGGTTCACAGGTCCAAAAAGACCTAGTCGTCGTTGCAGACGGGCAGCATGTCAGTCATTTCCGCCCAATATTCCTTTTTGTTACTGTACCTCCTGACATTCGACTCTAGGACCGAATCAATGCGAAGATCACGGGCAAACAAGTGCCCATGCAGAGGAGTGGCCAAACAGCATATCGATGTCTGATACCCATGAAGGACATCCTGGCAGATGAAGAAACCAGATCCTTGTTTGAGAACCAGCCGCCGGGCTTTTGGGCCCCTGCCCTGCCAGCAAAGGGCGTCATGGTCGTGTCTTACCCATGCAGAAACAACGAAGTCCTGAACGTGGTCGCAGTACACCGGAGGCTCGGTCAGCATGCCACGAGCGACGACGATGTGTTTATTGATGATTGGAACTTCCCTGCCACCCATGACGACTTGGAGAAGGTTCTCGATGGGTTTCATCCCAGCGTCAAAAAGCTCCTATTGAAATCGCCCGAGGTGAAGGTCTACACGCAAATGAAACGTGAGCCCTTGAGCAAAATGACCAAAGGCAAGGCTGTCTTGATCGGCGATGCGTGTCACCCCATGCTCCTGACGCACGCCCAGGGCGTCTCTTCCTCGATCGAGGACGCTGCGGCCTTGGAGGTCTTTCTCGCCGATGTTCCGGGCTCTGACAGCGTTGAATCAGCTCCGTCAGAAAAATTACTCTATCGGCTTGAACAGTTCGAAAAGTTCCGTCTACCCAGAGTCTGCGCAACCCAGATCATGACTGACCCCGTCGTCCCGGGACCACAAGCTGCGGCGAACTATGCCAAGCAGGAATCAGAAATTCGGAAGCACTATTCGGGTCCTCTGCCGCCGACTGGCTCGATGCCTCATAGCCCACCTATCTGCCAGTTCTTCTTTGGGTACGACGTGAGGAAGGAAGCTATGACGTTCCTTCTCACTGAAACGCTTGCTTCAACAGAGAGGGCTGCTGACGTTGTGCAGAAGTCCGCCCGGGTGTCTCCTGAGGTTGTCTTGCCCGTAACTACCAGGACGGTAGCTGCGGATTCTACCGCCATTGCTGAGATCCCAGTCTCTCAAAAAGCCATTGACATGCCAGCGACCGATCTTCCAAAAACCGGCCAAAAATTGGCCTCGGCGCCTCTACCTCCAATCGAGGAGCAAGTCGAGGTCGAAGCTGACCAGACGAAGATGGTCGCCGATGCGGCCGTATCTCCAACCCAGGTACCGGTGGAGGAGGGGATCACAGAATTATCTATGCCCACCCAGGACAGAGTCAACACACTGGAGCAAAGACTACACCATCTCGAACGTAAATTGGCAGAGATGGAAGCCAAGATTGAAAAATTCAGCGTCCATGTCTCGACCGTCGAGGTTCACCCCACACCGCCACAGACACCGCCCGCTGCCCATGACACGCCTCCGGTGTTAATATCGATATGATCGGGGGACAACGAACACCTGGACCATCATCGACTGACTTATCTTATCGCGCGAAGGGAGCAGAACTATGACAGCAGAAAGATTCACACCCAGTCTCCCAGTCATTCTGAATCGAATTTTCGTTTGTCTTCCCTACAACCTCTACCTGAAGGGGTCGAACTGCTTGGTACTATGGATCTGGAGTACTTATGCCGTTTGGAGAAAAGAACTGGTGGACTAAGGTGTCGTTGCTCCTAATCTGGTGTTTGACGGGAGTTGGAGTTTTATGTTCGAGCTACCGTACCATCTAAGCAATAATATCTCGGTTTGCACGATTCTATCTGTCTTCTATCTAAGAGCCACTTTAGACGCGTGGGGCGGTGATTCTCCAGTACCCTTCCACTGCGTGCCTTCAAGTTCCGTTCGTAACTGCATTTCCCTGGCGTCGTCCGTCTACAGTCATCTGTTGGTGCATCAAAGCCGCTGTCATGTTCTGATACAGAGATCTGAAATGCGTGGAGGCTCTGGCTTCCTGTATGTGGTTCCACATTGTTCAAGCCGTTGGTCTCAGTTTCCATTCAGCAAGTCCCAAATGAAAGAGTACCTCCCGTTGGGACAAGCAGTAAAGCCAAGCGTATCACGATAATCTTTTCAGTCAAACAGTCGCTCTCTTCGACGCGGCAAATACACTCAATCACTTTCCCTTTTCAAGCTCTCTGTAGTGGGCATGACACGATCCGCCTTCGCATCTTGGTCCACGACCAGATGAGCATCACTTTCAGTAGAATTTACCACTGAAGGTGAAGACCCGAACTTCACAGTTCAGATAGCCGGCACCTAAACCAAAATTCAGCACTGTACCTTAGGTAGCTAGTCACCCCCAGTGATTGATTATTGGATACCTCTCTCCGGATCATCCCCCCTCCAATCTTCCGTCAAATAGTGAAGAAAAGGCACCATGGGTGACCAAGACGATATGTAATTCTGGATGCTTGAATAGCCAGGTTCTCATCTTTGCCGCCCTTTTCTCCACTGAGGCTTTGTCGGCGGCATACTTGCCCACCTACCCGATAAGAACAAAACCCATGAGCAAAAATGAGCAAAGCTACGCTGCCTCCGAGCACAAAACAAAACTCACTTTCGATGTCCATCCATCTTCAACTAGACTTAGGTCGAACCTAGACAAGGGAAAAGCAGGATCACGATCCGCCAGAAGCTCGGGGAGCTGCTGCTCTTCCAAGTCCGCACGAGCGTGGCCAATGTCGCGTTGATGGGCATTCGCCTCCTGGCCCAAGGGGTGGGCGATGAACTTGACACCTTCGCGATTGATGGCAGGTGCAAAGGCGAATGCAGCGCTCTGAACAGCCCGACGGAGAGGGGAGCAGATGACGGCCGATATGCGTTCGTGGTCCGGGAAGTTGTCTCTGAGCTCACGGCATTGGGCTTTACCCTTATCGGTCAAGCGGGCAACGTGAATCCAGTTACGGTGCTGTACGTGATATCAGAGTAGTAGGAGATGGGTAGTCGCTAAGGTATCTTACCTCGAGCTTGTGTTCCCCCTCTCCGTGGCGGACGAGGTAGATAGTGGGAGTCATCACGAGCTTCGGAGAGTGAAGGGTAACTTATCGCGTGACCAAGTGGGTGGGTGTAAAAGCGTCATGGGCTGAGTATGTGTAGACATGTTTGTAGAGGGGAATTGATGTTCCCTATTACGATGAAGCTTGACGCTCTAGTTTTTGATATGGACGATCCCTCGACACTTTCGAATTGCTATTGCATTAGACTTGAATGCTTGCAAAGCTCCTCGATAAGGCAGACTTCAGAATTTTGCAGGTTCGAGACCACGGTCTGCTGCAGTGAGACTGCCATTGCGCTGCTTATCCGGATCTGAATCTCCGTAAGCGGCCATTCCGGCGAGTGGAACCAACGTGGCGCCCCATGGGGGTTGCGGGAGCTTCGCGGGACGGGTCGATCACAGCGATCGCCCGATACTGTACATAATTGACGAGGGAAAACAGGGCCAAGGGTCAACGTTGGGCCTCCGCGGCCCTTTGTCTGAGCCTCAGGCTGTTCAACAGGCAAGATAAGAGTTATGTAGGTGGACATTTCAGGCAGCAAAGATGAAACGTAATTCGATGCAGAGCATCCCACTCAAGCAGAGTGAGGCAGATGCCAGAGAATTCACTCCTCGTTCTGATTTGACGTTGCACAGTACATTCAACCATGAAGCACATATTCAATAGTATCCTTGGCTTTTTTGCCCTGTGCTACAGGAACAGCGCCCTTGTAACTGCAAGGCAAACAGTGGCTGTACGAATAGGCGCCGTGTGCTCAACCACATGTTCAAGTTGCGAAGAAGGATTCGTTGTCTTGTTTGCATCCTGCTCGCTAGTACCCTGCCTCGTTAGCCATCAGGTGCCTTTCAAATATGGCACTCCAAGGCATTAATCATGGTGGCCTCAGGCCGCATATTTGCTCAGCCTCACGGGCGCCTGAGTGCCTTTTTAAGGCAGATTTCAAACAGGTAGTTGCACAGTCTGTGCAACCATGGCCGGCTTTCACGTTGTGAGGCTCCCCGAGCTGTTTCAGACGGTGTATGGACGGATAGAAGACGGACAGACGGACACATGCCAAATTGTAACAGTGCGCATAATCCCGCAAACCATCTTTTATCCACCGGCTTTGACTTAATCGTACCTGCTATAGCATGACCGACCCTTTCAGCGTATGTGTCGGAGTGATTGGAGTCTTTGGTCCAGCGAAGAAGGTTTGTAATGGTCTCATTGTGCTAAAACATGCGCCTCGCGAGATCGAAGAGCTCCGAAATGCGCTCCTCCATTTAACTGCAGTGCTCGATAGAGTGGCCGTGATGATCCAGACCGCAGGGAGACCGGACAATTCTCACGAGCTACTTCAGCTTGCGCTGGACGAGGCCACCCGTGTTGCAGAACCACTGCACGCTTGTCTTGGAGAGTTCACTTCGAGTGACGAAAGCACATCTCTCCGAAAGCGCTTTGATCGAGTAATTTGGTCTCGCAAACGCGGTTCAATCAAAGACTACACCGTGCGCTTGGTCAGCGTCAAACTGAGCCTCATTCTTGCTTTGGAGGCGGAGCAAATGTAAGTGAACTCGCACCAAGAGAATTACCATGGAAGTCAAGCCACTAACTGGTATGGCACAGCTGCTCAACTTCGCGGATTGAGACGAAGCTTGAGAGCGTTGCTGAAAAATGCGCCGTCATGTTTTCGCAGAAGCCACAACTCTACCCAGCACACGCAGACCAGGGCCACGGTCCACACAGTCCCCTTATCGGGACAGGGGCAAATTCCCAGCAGACACATCCCCTCAGCTTCAGCAGCCGCTCCGTCGAGTTCTTGCAGAGATGCTTCGGCCTTGGACAGAATATCGAACAAGTGATGTCGTCTGAACGATGCGACTGCAATTGCCATCTCTCCAGCAGTTGGGGATCACCCACCTATCTCGTCAGCATTTTTGGTAGGATCCACATTGCACGCAGACCATCAGCTCCATGCTACCAATCGACGTGTCGCAAGTCTTGTGAGGCAACTTGGGTCACCACCTCGTTCTTCTGGTACACACCGGCCTGGTGGCCTACACAGCGCATGATCGCAGTCACCTTGTTTTCCACTCCGCATCTGAACCCGTACATTGTGTTGAGTTTTCCCCAGATCGTAGCAAGTGATTCGATGATTTTCCATTTTGCAACCACGGGCAATGTGTCTGGAGTTCGAGGCTGCTGGAAGCCGGGGCAGCTTCCCCAGACGACATCAAGTGTGATGGCGGATTCACTGCGCTACATGTAATGTACATCAAGCTCGATGATTGATGTGGACTAACCATCTTGGCCAGTACGCGATACAAGCCAACAACATCGAGGCTTGTAGGCTCCTCATGAAGGCTAGAGGTCGGCCGGACCTCCAGACAGCGGCATCAATGTATGCATTGCCATCAGAAATTCGAGATGTGAAAGGCTAATCCTGGCTCAGGACGGCATTGGACCTTGCTATAGCGAAGGTTCTCGCTGTAGCGGCCGAAGAAGAAACTCTCCCTGGCTTGACAGAGCTGTTCCAGATCCAAGATGGCATAGGAAATCAACGCTTCTCTCGGCTGCACGAGACTGTTCTTTGCTCAAAGGCTGAATCGCTCACACAGGCACTTGATCAAGATATAGTTTCTTTGGACACGCCAGATGCTCATGGAAGAACTCCAATATCATGGGCTGCTGCAAGAGGGAACCACGACGCTGTGCGTATACTAATGGATCATCTCGCCGACGTCCATCTCGCGGACGTTAGCGGCATGACACCATTGCATTATGCTGCCACGAGCAACTCTTTAGCATGCTTAACACTTCTTTTTGGTCATGGAGCAGATCTGAGTGCGAAGGACAAAGACCGCGGCTGGACCCCTCTTCATTATGCCGCTTTCAACCAGGCCAATCCATCTTGGGTTGAGGAACTGCTTGTCCATGGAGCCGACGTCAATGTCAAAACAGATAACCTCAAAACAGCGCTGGTATTGGCCATAATGAAATGCCACCATCTCACTGCGAGGTCTCTGATCAAGCATGGCGCAGCTATCAATCTCAAAGGCTTGGACGGCTTTACACCATTGAATAGCACTCTGATATCCAACAGCAGTGCCTGCATGCAAGTTTTGATTGACGCTGGCATCAGCCTCAACGAAATAGCGTGGAAAGGACAGACAGTGCTCCACCTCATCGCCCTTTACGCCAATGAGGAGATGATTGACTGTTTGATGAAAGCAGACTTTTCCCGTCTGGTCCTGGATGCAGTTGATGGAGCAAGGAAGACTGCTCAAGAGCTTTTGAAGTCCGCGTCGAGGAAAGCGAGCGCGCTAGTTGTCAGAGCCTTTGCTCGGCTCTGCGACAAGGTACTGGATGATATTATCTTTGCGAATGAAGCCGACTCTCAGGACTTCGAAGATGCGTTGGAAGAATTATAATATGCGGGAGGTTACAGTAGGCCGGAGTGTCTGGCCGAATACTGCGCCGAAACTGCCCTCGCTTGTCTGTTGCTATTGGGTTATGGGGCAGGCATGCCAGAAGAGCTTTCGTTGCGCCTAACCGATTGAGCTAGGCAGTCTCTGGTCGGTCCCGTCTGTAAATTGAAATCTTGTAAAATCGTGGCTAGTTGTGATCTAAGATCGAAGCTCCATTGATGAAGATATTATGCGCCAAAAATTCGTTTGAGGAGAAGCCGACCGAAAGTATCCTGTCCAGGGGAACGGACACATCGATTGATGCGATTGCCGTTACCTTCTGTCATCCAGTCGGTTTCCCCAGCTGCTTCACTATCGCCGTGGTCGTCCTTCTGATCTCGAGTGTTTTGATTAGTCACAAACATTCCTCTTGTCCACTGACCTGTGGTCTCCACCCTTAGATCTTCAGCCTCATTGAACTTCCACTTAGGATTGTCATCATCCACGCAATACCACGTGGTCAGCGGATCATGGACTTGCACTTCCACAGCGTCACTGGAAACCTCTGGACAAAGTGATTCGGTTTTGTCAAACGTAGCGCTCATAAAAGCTGAAACCCATTCTGCCAAAGGCGACTTTGCAGCTAGGTGTGGCTGAAGAGAAGCGTCGAAATCGCCCCGAGTGAGCACGTGCTTCCCAGTGATGTCCACGGGAAACAATGTGAACTTCAACCTCTTTGAAAGGTTGTCTGGGTAAGAAGAGAGGGAGGGTGGAGGCGGAATGCCCCTCCCCGAGCCGAGAGGTGGCGGTGGTCCCGGCGGCATCGTTGTGTGCGGTTTTGGCGATGTGAGAGCGTACACTCGTGCCGCCGCCACAGGGTCTGCATAAGTGTTGAACTCCGCAATAGGCGTCATCTGATTTCGAATATTCAGCATATCTCGAATAGGACCTGGTGCTTGTTTGATGAGCCTGAAAGACGGCTCGTTGATTTTTGGAACCTGCTTTGGATGGGAGAGAGATTGATAGCCTACGTTGGCGGCTTCATCAATACAACCGCCCATGACCACAATTTCCTTGACTTTCAAGAATGTTTCCGGATCTTCCGCTGCCGCAAGGGCGAGGTTCGTCATGGGACCGATTGCCACGATAGTAATGCTGTCAGGTTCATTGTCGCGCAAGGATTTCAGTATCTCCAAATGTGCAGGTCTTTGAGATTGTGTGAACAGAGAGTCCATCTTGTTCATCTCTTCGGCTATTTTACCTTGCTCAGGAGCAGTTGACTTGATTGCAACTTCGAAGACGTGCTCCCACGTCTCGCTGGGAGTCAGATGCAGGTGCTGCTCAAATTAGCAAATAATTCGACGACCTCGAACACGTACATACGCTCGAGCGGACTCGGCCAAGCCTATCTCGTCCATCTGGGACCAAGATGAGCTTCACGTCAAGCACATCCAGCATGTCGACTTACAGAGGAAATCAGCCATCAAAGTATTATCAGTGAGCGGACCTTCAGGGCCCACAGCAACTACAGGCTTCGACTTTCGTAGAGTTTCAAATCCGCAGCTCCGTCCAACGCTTTCACGCCATCTGATCTTCTTTTCCACATGATAGAAGAGTGAGATCGCATTGCGTAAGCAATTTTGGACGTCTATGTTGCCGTACGTCACGGAGATTAGTAACACTTGAAGCTTCTCCGGTGGTGCTGAGAAAGCCAGCAGTATTGCCAGAATGTCATCGACTCCCTATTAAGGGGTCAGTCGGTTCGATATGCTTGTCGGTAAAATGTAGTGGCCAGCGTACCGGGTCGGTGTCTATGATAATCTTCCGAGGAGCCATAGTCGCCGGTGTGAACGGACAGCATTGGCACTTGTCGATTGTCACGATTCCGAAAGTCAGGAGTGGTCACATTTGTGTTTGGAGCATCCAAGTTAGAGAAGACGTGCCGACATTCCACAGCTTCCTTCTTATATCCCTTGAGGTCTCGGTGGTGGGGCGTTTGTCCCAATCCTTTGAGTGACTGTATGTTACAGGAGCGTTCAAATGGCACAGAAGCGGTTGAGTGCCACGACACGCAACCGCAGTGTTTGTTCAACATGCTGATCTAGACAGATGAGCAAACGAAGCGAGCCCTGAGCAGGCTGAGCGGCCCACGGTGAAGCTCAGCCGAAGTTGAGCCAGATCGCATGATGCCAGAGTTAGTGCGGCAGGTCAAGGTTCCAAAACGGGTGCTAATACTGTACCTGGTGCTTTGTGGCCGCTGAATACCTACCGAATACCAGGTATCCTGCTCCAATATGGGAATTCCTTCTGTCAGAATAGTAATAGCCAACTTGAAGTGTAGCAATCATGTGCCTATTACCGGGTGCAGCCTCGCCAGGCTTATCATTGAGATTCTCGTGATACCTGCCCAGTTGGTAGCACAGTTACTACCTGGTAGTGTACAACTACTGCCAGTGTCCTCTGCCCACAGCCTCGTCGCGCCTGCAGATGACTTACTAAACTGGAGCGCGTCATCCTTGGCACTTAACGCTCTTACTCCGCCAATCTCGGAGTCCGTGTAACGTGAACATCGTCAGGTTGAGGACGAGAGATTCTTTAGATCTTTCTACTTTTGACTCGAGAGAACTCAATTTCAGTTACATTGAGGGACATTATCGATCGACTGCGCATAAGCACAGTCTTAATTTAGTCTCATTTACTTTATCGCCGAGTCTCTATCCAGCTGCAGCAAAAGTTGCGGAACTTCATAGTCTATTGAGGGAATGCACCGACCGATCGACCTTCGTTCTCAGACCAAACGTTTACAATGCGTCTCCGCCTCCTGATCCAGCGCCATGCGCTCCCGTCCGTACAAATCGTCTACACCACCGGCACAGGACCGGCATCTCATACGAAATCGCGAGAAAGCACCATCGCCGACTTACTACACGACGTGAACGACTTGGTTCCGCTCGAATCGGCCGACGGCGAATGGGGCCTAGAGGACTACGTGGTGGAAGTTGTGCCGCCGACAGGAGATAGAACAACAAAAGCCTACGAGTGTCTCCATTATCAGACTTGCGAATCCGTCCTCCGTGAAGATGACGAGGTGGTCATACGTGCGTTGTCGTCGGAAGAGCTGAGGATTCGAAGATTAGGAGGCAGACATCAGATCGCGGGGGATGGGAGACATCTCATTGATGGCGTGGCGTTCGGGAAACAGTGGTTGAGAAAGGCTGCCCGGCCGGGAATAGTGATTCCGCCTCGCAAGAAGAGAAGACTGCTGACGGCCGAGGAGGGAGACGAAGAAGATGAGGAGGACGAAATCAGACGGATCCTCCCTGCGGATAATAATGCTTCCAGTGCTCTTGTTCGGTTCGACGAAGATGAAGACGAGGACGAGGAGGAAGACGACGAAGATTATGTTGATGAAGGGGACGATGCTGACTCTGATGTTGATGCTGCTGAATCACGTGAGATCGCCGTCAGAGCGGAATTTGATGACGCAGACGCAGATGCAGATGCGGACCTGGACCCGGAGTCTTCTGCCACGATGGAACGCTCACCCTCTGAGGCAGAGCTGCCGAATGAAGATCTATCGAATGAGATCAAGAAGCTGCTGCAAGATGCTGCCGAGATCGAGCGAGCCGGAAACGCATGGCTGGCAAACAAGCTAGTCCGCAAGCAGTTGAAGAGAAAGAGAAGTATCGACGATGAAGGCCAGGAACACGAACACGAAACTGTAACGTTTGAAGGCTTCTCTACCCCGGTCAGAGCCTCGAAGAATACAGATACAAACACTGATGAAGAGGACGATTCAGAGGCAGACTCTGACGCCGAGTCTGACGCAGACAGTGATGCTGACAGTGATGCCGACAGCATGCTGCAGGAGATTGCCCATCAGCAAGCCGAGAAACGCGCCAAGAATATCGTGGAGGAAGACCATGAGGAAGGCGATGGCGATGAGGATGATGAGTATGATGATGAGGCCGCTGAAGAGGGACAAGAGGATGAAGATTCATCAGAACATAGCACCTCTTCTTACTCTGAGTCAACATCGTCTGGGTCCGAACCGGATCAACATGGCGTGACGGAAGACCTTGCCGTGCAAGAGGCCAAGAAAAGGGTCTTGGATTTAATCCAATCTTCAGATAGAGAATCTCCTGACGCCTCTGAGGATAGCTCATCGAGCTCCGAGGATGAGTCAGATGGTGATGCCACATCGAGCTCAGGTTCAGAACCGGGTTTGGAGTCGGACTCGGAAGACGATAGTTCTAGCACTTCTTCTACGTCAGAGTCCGAGTCTGAATCCGATTCAGAATCCGAGTCTAACTCATCGACCGAGTCGAAGAAACAAGAAACGAAGCAGTCCACATCTACTGGCAACACCTCTGACACAGCTAAGCCAGCAACAGATGGCCGAGAAGGATCTACAAAAACGGCAACCGTTCCACCGGGTGCGGGCACAGCAAGAACGCACAATAACAACAACAGAATCAAGAAGAGAAAAAGGTTGAATCTCTTAAAACAGCAAGGTGTCTTGCCCAAGGAAGCTGATTTTCGGGCGTTGGCTGCTTATGATGAAGCGCAAGCGAACAAAGGAAAGGAGTCGACCGATATGCAAAATCAGGAAGGATCTGCAACCGTAGATATTACATCTGCTGGTATCGAACAACCCAGGGGAAATGATGAAGCAGCAAGTGTTGACAACAAAACGAAGTCCGAATCAGAAGCGGTTGATCCGTCAAAGTCGACTTCGGAAGCTGTTGTGGCCCCAGTGCCGGAGGCTCGCGAGACGCGGCAAGCAGAGGCACAACCGGATACGGAGCCTACCCCTAAAAGAGCCAAACTGGACCTGGCTAGCTCTCGAAGAATGCTCTTCTCGTCTCTGGGACTGAGAACTCCCAAAACACCTGAAGCAGAACAGGCGTTGAGGGAGAAGTTGTCCAGACCGCTAAAGCAAGCCAATAATGCTGTGGCTGAGAGTGCTCTGCCTTCTCCTGCAGGCGCACCCTCGAACCAGGAGGATGAGTCCTGGAAGGACAAGCTCGTTATCATGGCAGTCGAGTGCGAGGGCGCCGGGGGCGTTTTGCCTCCGCCGCCGTTCCCTTTCGAACAGGGCTGGACGAGGACTTCAAGTGCCAAGAGCAAGCGCCGCGCTCGGGACGAAGCTCAATACTATGGAGAGGGAGTTGGTCAAGAGCAAGGCCAACAGGAAGATGCTTTCGCCCCCGACGCGTCGATGCTGGCTTCGGGCAAAGGCATGCCATCAGACGCAGTGGTTACCTCCCAGTCTGCAGCAGACGGGAATGAGAATTCGGATGAATTTGATATGCCGATGCCAGCTGACATCGAGAACCTGCCTGATCTCGACGAAGCCAACATCTTGCCAGGAGCGGTGATCGCCTACAAAGAATTGCATGTTGATGCCTCCACCAATTACCAACCTGAGGTCTCTTCCTACCGACTGGGACGTGTTTCCATGATGGATGCAGATGGTACCGTCCATCTAACGCTGGCCAAAAGCTCGCTTGAGTCTACATCGAAACCAATGTACGACGAGGAAACTGGGGAGCGAATCTACGGCAAGTTTGATATACCGACAGAAGACGCCGAGGAGTCTGATGATGGTACCCGTGAGATAGCGTTTTCCGCCATGATTTCGCCGAAACTTGTGGAAAAATCCCTGGTGGAGGTGGCTGAGAGCTCTCATGGAAAGGGTGGAGATGCCCCGGCTTCGCTCGCTGAGGAGCAATACACTGCCATTCCTGAGACCCTTGAACAATCGAAGCATACGACGACCTCGGACAATCCCAACATATCTGTAGGGGACATTGCAACTCCACGCAGACAGGAAATCGCAAACATCATAAAGGAAGCTGGATTCAATTCCGCCCTGGACGAGAAAGTTCTGCAGCCTATCAGAAACCCATCGGACCAAGATGTTCAGCATCAGACGGCCGTCAGCTTGCAAACTAGGTCTCAGCAAGAGCATCATCTTAGACCTCCAAGAAGGTCCCCGCGCATCAGCCCGTCGCATTCTAATCATGCGGCCTCTCCCGAGCTGGGTGTCAATGAGGATGTGCCTGGTGGCCCTCAAGCCCAACTAGAGTCCGAATTGGCTCAGTCCTCATCTCCCACCCAAGAAACAGTTGAATACCCTCATATCTCGCAGATCGAACTAGGTTCATCTGTTCATAACCTGACTACCAACAGCAGCTCACACCAGGATGCACAAAAGATCTCCCCAGCCCCTGCGGTTGAGCTGTCCTTTACGATTTCCGAACAGCAGGATCCTGGTAACGAGGCAGACGATGAACAGACCGGCCTGCAGCAAGACTCAATGGAGGCATTCGATTCTGGAATTCCGCAGTCTCGGTCACAATCTGCCCCGAGAGAATCTCCGGAAGCAGGGGCTGAACGGAACGAATCCTCTGTTGTGCAAGATTCTTTTTCAGGTCCTGGCTCCGCTGGTCACGATTCTTCGTACCATGATGACGATGACGAGGCTGGCAGTGACAATGACAGTGACGAGCTACCCTCCCTGCAGGAGATTGCTTCGGGTCGCAGTCTGAGCCAACGCATCACCACACGCTCGAGCAAATTGTCGGCACCGTCAGGCAAGAGATCTCTGCGTCAGTTGAAGAATGAACGCCAGTCAACTCCTCCAAGCAGTCCTGATCTGCCACCTTCGAGCCAGCCCATTATCAAAATGTCTCAGAGTCAGCAGGAACGACGTCTTTCACAGATTCCTGCTGGGTCTCAAGTTGTCGACTTGACCTTTTCGAGTAGTCCTGGGAAGGTAGATGATGGGGATGGTGATGCAGCGGATTCTACTTATAGTGAAGGGAAGGGCTCGTCTGCTCGCCACACGAAGAAATCAGGTTCCAAGGCGATGAAGCAGGATGCCGGACTGGGGAAGCGGAGGCTGCTTATTTCTAAGAAGGCGAGACAGTATTACTAGTGATGCTGGTAGTGAGTGAGCCAGAGCACAGGTGCATTGTGTATTTTGTACGAAGGGGAGGCAACTTGACCCTGCAGTATTATTTAGTGCTTTCATACACAATTGTAATTAATCCTGATACTGGAATCACAATTCAGATGACAATTGATATGGTTTGGTAAAAGTTCGGGTGAATCCAACCCACTGGGCACGAAGTGCGTCAGACAAGGCTGTGGGCGACGGCAGCTCAGCCTTGCGGAAATGACAGCTTTACAAGTGCCGAGGAGCGCAACTTGACTACAGTTGTATGGTGACCAGGCGACAAACTGGCCTTTTGTTTGATGAACCGCCAATTCCGGGCAGCTTGCTAGATTCGGATTCTATATTAAAACAGCCTTCGATACGTCACCTCAGATTGCTCGTTCCTTGCCTCCTGGGGTCACAAACATGCGACATTGGTAACGTGCTGGCTCCAAGCTGCCACGATGGCTCTCACGGGCAGACTGCGACCTATAGCCACACTTCTCCTAGGTTAGTCCGACGGAGACAATAGTCTATCTATGGTATACTGACTGTTGTCTATAGTGGCATTTCTAACCCTGTCATGTCTGCAACCTTCTCGAACCTCCGTCGCCGCCAGAGGCACTGCGATTCCCGGTCTCGACGATCCGCCGATCGACTTCGTCCCAACCGAGCAGCAGAAGCAGAACTACTGGGCCCAAGGCGGCAACGATATTGTGCACGAGGTATGGTCTGTTCTGCGCGACTTTGAGCCGACATGGAAGAACAACGTGTTGTCGCCTGTCCACCCTACAGGAATACTCGAGATGATATGGCATTATACGAAAGTCGTTTTCCGGGCCTTGTTTATGAATGCCCCTACGACGAGGCAGGATGATAGCGACGCAGATAGCGAGACTGTCAGAATCACAGGGGATCTGAAAAAGGGAGTGGACACGCTCAGGACCGCAGCGGCGTTCGATGACCCAGACGCTATTTTCCTGCTGGCTGAGATGAATTTCTACGGCAACTTTTCATATCCGCGGAACTTCACCGAGGCAAAAGTCCAGTATCAACGGCTAGCGGACCTGGACGGCAACAGCACGGCACAATACATGCTTGGCCTGATGTACGCGACGGGAATCGGCGGGTTGGAAAGAGACCAGGCCCGAGCCCTACTGTACCATACCTTTGCGGCGGAACAAGACAACATCCAGTCGGAACTGACACTAGCGTTTCGATATCATGCAGGCATCGGATGTCAAAGAGACTGCGAAAAGGCCGTGGAGTATTACAAACGCGTGGCCGACAAGTCGATGAAGTACTGGCAATCCGGACCTCCCGGAGGTCACTCGTTCGTCCGCAATGCATATCGATGGGTCGAGCTGGATGGTGGATTCTACGGCGAGGGCGCCAGCGTCAGCAGTTCAGGACCTAATGCCGCGCAACGAGATAGTTTCAGCAGCGCCCATGTCGACTATGTCTTGGAATACTTGGACATGAGGGAGAGGCAGGGCGATTATAATGCCATGCTGACGCTGGGGAAACACTACTACGAAGCTCCGCGTGGATATAAACGCAACCTGCGCAAGGCGCAACGGCAGTTCATGAAAATCGCCCGTGCGTACTGGGGAAAGGATGGGAAAGTCAATCCCAAAGCACCCAGGGGTATTGAGCGTGTCGCCGGCAAGGCCGCCGCGTATATTGGACGCATGTTCCTTCGTGGAGAGGGCATGGAACAGAACTACGAAAAGGCCTTGTTATGGCTGAAGCGCGGTCTTGCCAATGGTGACTCTTTTGCTCAGTATCATTTGGGTCTGATGTATCGAGATGGCCTTGGTGTTCCCCAGGATGGACTGCGTGCAGGAACTTACCTGAAAGCGGCGGCGGAACAAAGTCTCCCAATTGCTCAATCGGCGCTGGGGGTTTTATTTCTTGACCAAGGCGATGTCGACACTGCCGGGCGGTACTTTGAGCTGGCGGCCAGTGCAGGGGTCATGGAAGCATTTTATTATCTTGCCGAATTGACTAGACAGGGCGTCAAGCGGGAACGGAACTGCGGCCTGGCCAGCGTGTACTACAAGGTTGTTGCCGAGCGGGCGGAAATCTTGCATTCGCCCTTCGTCGAGGCAAATGCCGCCTACGACAGAGGAGACTTTGAACGCGCATACATTGCCTCCATCAAAGCTGCCGAACATGGCTACGAGAATGCCCAGGCCAATGTGGCATATCTTCTCGACCAGAAAACATCCGTCATTTCACTGCCCCCGAATATTCCTCTGTTGTCGTCGAATAAGCCGAGCCACAAGCGCAGCAAACTGCTCAATGATCCGGAGCTTGCTCTGGCTTACTTCACCCGCTCGGCGAAACAGGCTAATGTCGACTCGTTGATCAAAATGGGCGATTATTACTTGTCGCTTGCATCGTCGGCGTCATCGTCATCGAAGCACAAGAATCAAAGCGGAGGGTTGTTGACCAAGCTGCTCCACAGGCAGGCCTACAGTGGTGCCGGCCGAGCTGGTGGTGATGGTACAGAAAGTGCCAACGTCAACGCCAACGATACAGCAGAGGCACAAGTCCAAGCAAACCTCGAAAAGGCCGCGACATGCTACACCACAGCAGCAGAATCGCACCACAGCGCCCAAGCGCTTTGGAATCTAGGATGGATGCACGAAAACGGCGTGGGGTCCGTGACGCAGGACTTCCACATGGCCAAACGGTACTATGATCTCGCGCTCGAAATGAACAAGGAAGCCTACTTTCCCGTGACGCTGGCTCTCGCGAAATTGAGATTAAGGTCATGGTGGAACGGCGTCAGCGGCGGTAAAATCAATTCGATCCATGATGACGATGACGACGACGACGACGGCAATGCAGCTGGCCGGAAAAGACCAAAAACCTGGTCTGAGTGGTTGAACCGGTTCCTCGATGCCGCGGAGGAAATGGATGCGCAGGAAGCCGCTGCCGCTGCGGCTGCTGCTGCGGCCAGAGGAGACGATGACAATGATGACTTTTTTGGTGCTGCTGGATATCCTGAGCCTGGTATGCCTGGCGGTGATGCCGAGTATGCTGGACCTGGTGGAGAACGACAGGCCGGAGGTGGCGATCCAGGTCGCCAGCATCAGCATCATTATCCTGCAAGAGGAGAAGGTGGTGCCGCTGGTGCTGAGGCAATGTATAATCCTGCTGAAGAATGGGATGAGTTTGATGATGGCTTGGTTGAAAGTCTGATCATCATTGCTCTCGCGGGTGCTTTGGCCTTGTTGGTCTATGCCAGACAGGCGAGGCAGAGAGGGTTGGAGCAGGATAGAAGGGAGCAGGAAGAACGGCAACAGCAACAACAACAACAACAACAACAACAAGGTCAACCGCATGATCGGCCTCAGGATGACAATGGTGGTGGTGTGGGACCAAGAGGGTTGTTTCCGCCGCCAGGAGATCCAGAGTTCAATAACTGGGTCGTTGGCGGGATTGGGCATTGAAGTTGATATTATTGAGCTCGTTGGCCCGAGGTTCAATATCGAAAATGTAATATTTTGAACTGGCTGAGCGGCAACTTGAATAACGTAGCTTTATATGATATAGCATACTGTGAAACACGAACTGGGCCGTAACTGTCTAGACCTGTACCTATGACTGTAGAAATGAACATAATAATATGTAACAGATGTAACCATGCACCTTAAGACAGTCGGATCAGATCAATTATTAGATTCGGGATTATATCTTTCTTTACCTGGCCTGGAACGTGTATATTGCACTGGGAAAAAGGCAGATGCCAAGGTAGTGCTCGAATATATTTATATTGAAATATGGTCTGAGTCGAGATTGATAAAGCATAGTTGCATATTGGACACGGGTTCTATAAGGATAGTCATTCCAATGCGTTTTTATGTCGTGATTGGGTGGAGATTCGTTCGTTCATTCATTTATTTTTGTCGTCCCATCTGGACTCTCGCCGTACACGGAATCGGTGTCCATATTCCGTAGCCGGCTTACGAGAGCACAAGTATAGGGGAAATGGTGATCAGACGCCACGACTGACTCCTTTCGGCTGGCCAGTACGATTGTGTCCCGAGACACCTCCAGAGGATGGGACTTCGTAAGGTCCTGTTTGAGACATTCGTTTCGATTTTCGAGTCCCAGCTCGGCATAAGAGGGATGTCATCTCCGAAATGTCAGGTATGGTTCATCCTTCATCCCTGGAAATTCCACTGGTGGTGTATTGAGAGATGATCTCACTTTAGCATCTTTTGGTTGAAGAGGGGATCACGTCCATTTTCAGCAAGTCGTGTTTCGTGCTGAGTTTTTTCAGTAGAGAGATTGGTTTGGCTTGTTGAAGGCCATTTGGAGCTGTCAAGAGTGCAAGGCATAGACAGACCAGGGCATGTCCGAGATCCAGTCTAGATCATGCCGTGCTGTTGACCACTCAATGGGGTGTCTGTCATAGCATGCACCAGGAAAGGCGGTCGTTTAGCGCGGTCCGAGATCACCCTGCTCTCTCGTCGCATTTGGGACCACCTCGCCGAGTCTGTCGGAGTGTATCTCAGGCACCCTTGCTGAAGAGGGAAACGTTCCGTTCCAATGGATATGCGTTTTTTAACGGCATGTTCTTATCGTCAAGCTTCTCCAGTGCTGTCATGTACCGTCTGCAGCTTTTTATATTCTTCCTCGAGTCTCTTCTGCATTTCGAAATCCGCCTGCCGTTCTGCCTTGATGCGCTGCTGTTCCATATCTCGTATGACGCCGGCGTGCATGGCCTAAAAGGATTCGATCAGTATCATCACCAGTAACTGGATAGGATTGCTGGTGTAGGCAAGCAGTGCATACCTCTTTCTCGGCCGTCTGGGCCCAATGGACAAAAGAGACGATGCCGGCTGTGGCCAGGATCGTGCTTAGGAGAGTGACTTTTGAAGCGGTGGACATTGTAACTGCTGTAATAGGTTGAAAAGGTGTTCAACGGTACGGTCGAATAGTCAAAGCAGATATCTTGTACCAGGAAATCATAAATATACAATGGTTGTAAATGTACATTGATAAATTGAAATGGAGGCGGTTCAAGTTCCGCCGTGGTTTCCCCAGTCGCACTAAACCCTTTCCAGCGCCGCAGCTCAAGCTCGCGGCATGCACCGTTAGCAGCCAAATGCGGGTACACTGCGAGCAAGTGACGGGACACTTGTTACTGACTGGGTGACCGCTTGGGCAAGAGGCTGAACCACTACGACCAGATAACTCAAATAAACTTGTTGTCTTTTCCTGTTCTGCCTGCGTCTGTCGTTCCTCCTGTTCAAACGACCCGCGGGACCCCTCCAAGATGGTTTGTGCCTCGTCTTCTTCTCGAAACTATGTGCTGATAGCGAATACAGTCTGCCCAGAACTCCGCAGGCATCCAAACACTGCTGGATGTAAGTGGTTGAGGATGGCGACTCTGGTGCTTCGTACACGACTGATCGCTTGGGATTACAGGCAGAGAAAGAAGCACAGAAGATTGTCCAGAAAGGTAACGTCGCTCGTCCAACCACGCTTGGTCTCATGCTAATGTCGCTGTGTAGCCAGAGAATGTACGAAACCACTACAACTTCTTTTCTGTTCTGTGTGCCTCTCTGACCACTTCCAGACCGAACCAAAAGGGTAAAGGACGCCAAAACCGAAGCACAGAAGGAGATCGAGGAGTACAGACGGAAGAAGGAAGAGGAGTTCAAGAAATTCGAAGCAGAGGTGCGAACACCACGGGCACTGTTGTGAGAACGTAAGGGGTCCAAGATGCTGATAATGTCAAACAGCAAACGAGCGGAAACAAGAAAGCCGAAGATGACGCCAACAAGGAGGCCGAGGCCAAGGTGAAGGAAATCGACGAGGCCGGCAAGAAGCATGGCAAGAAAGTGGTGGATGATTTGATCAAGGCCGTGACGACGCCACATCCTCAGGTGCCTGACAAGGTCTCGGTGGAGGAATGATCAAGTCTAAGATTGCAACTTTTAATATTCTACTACTGCAACAAGCATGAGGTAAAGGAGGGTCTGGTCCACGCTGTGGTTATGGCGATGGCAGACACAGGCTTACATCCAGCCTTGGGCTGTACAAGCAGTGGCGGGCGTCATGGATGGTAGGAGGGTCAATGAACATAGATATAGGGTGAACCCGAATTCGATACGCCGAGATTTGTCTCAATGATTACCTGGTAGACCTGTGAGACGCCGACTGTCGTGTAGGCGGCGAGGCCTGGTCAAACTTTTCGGTTGAGAGAATAGCACTAGTATAACTTGAGTCCTGTACAACGTTGAACATGGCAAGACTGTTGCCTGTAGTACCTACCTACGTACTACTAGATAGACTAGTAGTACACCGTTGCTTTAATGTTGTGATGTCTGGTGGTCTACAACTAGGTATGGATCTGGATATGAATTCCGAATTGAATCCTATGACGCCATGTGCCTGCAGCCTCGCCAGAACATCAACAAACCACCAACTTCACTATTTCCTCTAATCTCGGTATTCTGCCTCTACCAACACACAATCCTCTCCTCGAGGTAAACTCAATCAACGGCGCCGGAGCATGTCATGGAGGGCCCTGCGCCTCCATGCCTCGCTACGACCGGCAGGGTCATGGTCATGCCGTCCACGTCCTTACCAAGCAGTGTCATATACATCGCGAACTAACATCCAACCTCGTCCCCCTACAATCAGAATCAACAGGCTTACACGACACCACTCCAACGATGCCAACACACCACGGTCCTTAGAACCCGGTCCAGCACGACCATCCCCCAACACCAAATCATCCAACAGCGACTGCCACCCCCCATCTCGCGACGAAGAGAAACCCATTGACGCCCGGTTTACCGACCTAGGCCGTCTAATCGCCGACGACTACGCCCACTTCCGGGAAAACTACTCGACCCCAAAACATCCAATCGTCCTGGCCCATGGTCTAATGGGCTTCGACGAATGGCGCCTTGCCGGCAAATACCTGCCAGGAATCCACTACTGGCGCGGAATCACCGAAGCATTCGCCCGCAACGGGATCGAATGCATCACGACAGCTGTTCCCCGAACAGGCAGCATCGAAGAACGCGCCGCCGTGCTATGTGCCGAAATCACCAAAAAGGCACGCGGCCGGCACGTCAACATCGTCGCGCACAGCATGGGCGGTCTGGACGCGCGATACCTGATTTCGCGCATCTGTCCACCAGAATCGGACTTTGTGGTGCGCAGCCTCACGACCGTGGCTACGCCTCATCGCGGGTCGTCGACCGCCGACATGGTCCTAAGGGACATTGGACCCGACCTCCTCCCGCGCATCTATTGGACTTTGGAACGCCTCAAGATCAATGCGGGTGCATTCTCCCAACTCACCACCGAATATGTCACGAAGAAATTTAACCCCGTCACACCGAATGATCCGTCAGTCCGCTATTTCAGTTACGGCGCGAGTGCGACGCCGCATTTGTTCTCGGTTTTCCGACTGAGTCATGAGTTGATGATGGTGCTCGAGGGGCCGAATGATGGTTTGGTTTCGGTTTATAGTTCCAAATGGGGCCAGTATATGGGCACTTTGATGGGGGTTACACATTTGGATTTGATCAATTGGACGAATCGGATCAAGAGGCTTGCGGCCGGTTTGGGCCTCGTCGAGCAGAAGTTTAATGCGGTGGCCTTTTATTTGGGGGTCGCGGATATGTTGGCCAAAGAGGGGTTATAAGAGGGAAGAAAGAAATGGTGGCCCGGGGGGAGGTGGTTGAGAGGGTTGAGTTGTGGTCTTCTTGGCCATGGCAGAGCAAGGAGGAACCAGCTGTACTGTAGTGTAGCACGTGCTGTAGCAGCAGCAGCAATGGAAGAAGCGGACGAAAACGCAAAGATAGAAGAGGACCTACTGGTGGTTGAAAATATCACCAACCTAGGTAAGGATATCAGTGTTCCAGGAGACGAACAGACGAAAACTGTTGAACGGTGAGATTATATCACAGTCATCTGATTTTTTTAGAAGCGAGACAGAAAATAAAAACTAATTCTACTGGCACACTCACCACACTCGTGCTGGTAATGAATTCAATGTGCATTCGAATCGACTAGCATGTAGAGCAGGATGTTACAGTAGTACCCACTTATATATATATATGTTGGTCTACACATAGAGCATATAAATGCATGCATCAAACACATACATAGCTCCTTTTACATACCAGCTAAGAAGAGAGTGTATGCCCGTATATATTCATTTTATATTCCTTTACAGGGTGGTATGTATCTGCATGTATCTGCACATTTATATGTACTCCGTTCTTTATACGTACTCGTCTAGTATAAATATAAATCCCGCGGGATCAGAAAGATCCCCGCGACATAGCACCACCGGAACAACCAGCACATCACCAGCACCTTTTGACAAATTTCAACCTCTAGCATGACTCGCAGCACGACTCCGACCCGTCTTGGGCGTCGGGACCCGCTCATGTCCATCTAGACCATTCATGGCCGGGATCCTGCTCGGGGACCCGGATGGCGAAGGTGTCTGGTGCCGACCCCGGACCCATGGAGCCCGGCCGCTCCAATTGTCGCTGTTTGAGCCGTAGTCACGCGTGACGAGGTTCGAGGAGGCGGCCTGCCCATTTGCCTTCGTATCGCCCTTCTCAAGACCGTTGAACTGGCCATGCGACGGGCCGTTCTCTGAATCTTGCGGGGTGTCGTGGCCATGATTGCGTCCATCATCATTTCGGGGAATAATCCTTCCCGCGGCATATGCACATCCACCGTAGGCGAAGCGGATCAAGGAGTCGCCGGTCAGACTGCCGATGATGAACACGTGAGGAGCGACCTGGAGATCTTGGTTGGCTTTTTCGCGCAGGGTTTGGCCGGAGATCATGGTCTGGGTAGGATTGCTGCTGGTAGTGGTGGTAGTACTGGTGTTGTTGGTTGTGCTGACGATGTGACTGTTGTTGCCCTTTATGTTGTGCTCACCATTAATGTTGCCGATGCTGCCGCTACCGTTGGGATCGTCGTTGTCCGCCCATGCGTCTGTAGCCGGTGGAGGTGACTCGAGAACTTCCTTCAACAGTTCCGGTGCAAGATAGTCCAGCGAGCCGCGGCGGCCAACGACATAAGCGAGATCGCTGACGCGGCGCTGGAAAGGAGGCGCGGATCCTATTCGAAACGTCACCATGGCGGTGGCAGAAGATGCTGCTGCTGCTGCTGGCCGGTAATTGACACTACCATGATCGCCTTCGGCACCGTTGTTCTCTTTCTGTAGAATTTGTACATCCACAATCTCGGCATTCGGTAGTCCCTCATACGTCGCAGCCCAGTCTCGACTAGAGTCAAAGTCGGAATGCGTATGTCGCGCTCTCGGCCGTTTGTGCTCTCCCTGCAAAGCGGCAATGGCGGCCAGTTTCATCCGTCGATAAATCCCCGCGTATTCCGGGTACGCTTGCTGATGACACGCTCGGAGCGGCGAAGGCGATGTCGAGGGAGCCCATTTATAGACATGAAGGATCTTTTGCGTGGAGGGACACGATATGATCACGTCCGCGGCACTGAAGCCCGACCCGACAACTAGCAAATAATCCGATGAAGCCTGGACAGCTGCAGAGTCCAATTCGGTGCCACAGATATTTCCGCGAAGATGTAACAGCGGCTCCAGTAGCGGCGGCGGCGGGATCAAGTGGCTGAATATACCTGATGCCAAAATCAAGTTCCTACATGCGATATTATGCGACGCAATGTAAAACCCTCCTGATTCTTGTCGCCAGATTCCAGCCACTTGTTCGCCATTGACAACAGCATCGCCAATCCCAGCCGCGTCTGGATATGCAGCGAGGTAATCGGCCACGGCGCGCCTCGACGGTCTCAGATACACGGGCGTAGGCTTCCCGTTGCGCCGCTGATAGTGTTCGTCAAACGTATATCCAGGCAACGATATCATGCCCGCATAACTCAATGTCCCGATGTCCCAGCTCGCATGGACCGGATTATCCACCCACTGCCCGCCGGCCTGCGGTGTGTTCCCAATGACCAGATGCGACACCGCACGAGACGAATCGGGGCGCCATTTCACGCACGTCTTCTTCTGCGCATCGTCCGTCTCGCCTAGTGGTCGGATCAGCGTGTCGAAGAGGACATTGACCGGCAGGGCTTGGGTCGAGTAGGAGAATCGAGAAGCCGTAAAGTGCTCGGTTAGGCTGTCGATGTCGAGGTTGAGTAGGTCGTGGTCGCGGTCGTGGTCGTGGTTGTGACTGTCATTGTGGTCGCCCCAATCCGTCCGTCCGTGGTGGGTGCATTGCACCAGTTTGTCGTGCAAAATATGATCCGGATGCGGACTCGACACGTCGTAGTAAGGAATGTTCCCGTGTAGAATGTAGGACAGAATCAGTGCCGAGGGCCCGTTTCCTGTACGACAGCAAATCAGCTCCTGGTTCGCCTTTGAGTGGTAGAAGGGATCATGCGCCGAAGCAGAGAGACCCCGCGACAAGGTACAGTATGCTACTCACCAACAATGACAGTGTCCACTTCGCGAGGCTCGCCATGAGCCATTGGGATCCCCGGGAGGATTCTGGCATCCTTTAAACGTACAACATGAAGCAGTCTAGAAATAAGAGGGTCTCGAATCCATGCAGGAGGAAAAGGTCGAGAAAATCGAAACTTAATATGGCGTCAACCGAGCGTGAAGAATCTGCCCCACCACCACTGGCAGGGAGAAATGCCTAGGTAAGGAAGGTAAGCGAGGTGAGGTATTCTGTCCGGTTCACTCATCAACTGAAGCTGGGATTACGATCATTGCAGCATCCGATGGCCCTGCAGCTCTCAAAGTAAGGACTGCTTAAGACGTGGCGGGAAAGAGTGCGAGCATCAAAGGCACATTAATCAGCAAGGTCCTTGCACCCGCCTCGACCCCAGGCCATTTTTGCCGACAATACACATGTCTCATAGACTTCCAATCTGATTTCATGACATATCTACCAATGTTTTCGTTTCCGGTACGCTGCCAAAGTAGGTTTGGAGGGATCATGACCCCTGCATACTGGGTGCATATCCTCGGATTCATACTCCGTAGGTCCGGATCATTCACCCCCATGGGGAGGGCATTGAGGAGAACGTCTCCAGCCTTCTTACAGTTTCCACTTGGGAGTTCGTTTTTCGAAGAAAGCGCTGATACCCTCTCTCGCATCGTCGGCTCTCGCGTGCAATGCCATGATTCTTCCCGTCCACGCAACGGCATCTTCATATCCGTCACCGCCAGACTCGCGGCCATTCAGCCCCAATTGCGTCCAATATGCCCATTTGCCCAACGCCGTCGGCTGTGGTGCTGTCCGCTCAGCCAGGTGGCTGACCATCTGAGCCAATCTTTCCTCCAGCGCTGCTTGATCCGCTACGACTTGGACTGCTCCTCCGGGCAGTTGATCAGCCCGCACGGGCTCGGCCAAAGCCAGCATTCTGTATGTGAACGCGTGTCCCAGTCTGCGCGACACCGCCGTCGAGGGCGACGTACATGGCAGGCCCATCGTTGCTCCAGGCAGTCGGAATTGAGTAGCTGCAGCAGCCACAGGTAGATCCGTCGTCAGGGCTAGCTGTGCCCCTGCCGCTGTAGCCAGACCTTGAATGGCCCCAATTACCGGTACAGGAGACCGTCGAATCAGGCTCATGACCTCGGCGCAGAGTGCGAAGGTCTCCTTGACCTCTTCATGGCTGAGGGTTTTGAGCTCTCCTAGATCGTGACCGGAACAAAACACGGGCCCTTCACTTCGTAATACGATCACGTTCGGCAGACCCTCGCGATGCCGGAGCCATTGGCTAGAATGTAGCAGCCAGCCATACTCTTGGCCGGCGTCAGATGTAGGATCCCGCGAAGCAATTTCCAATTGTCCTAGGAGTTCCGGTTTGAATGGAGGGAGGAACCTCACTTTGCCATCGACCGGCGAGCGATTGTAAGCGTGGAGCTGGTCCCGCAGCTCGCGCAAGACGGCCAGGGACAAGGCGTTTCGACGTTTGCCATTCTTCAGGGCGAGATAACCTGCCCGGGGCGGGAGCGATGGCCATGACATGATGTTTGTACCAATGGTAATCAGCCGTGGGGACACGCTTCTGGAGAAGTTGTTGTCAAATTGTGAAACAGTATATGAAGCTGAAGGATCTCGGGGTTTGCTGGGGCAAATTCTCCCCGCGGGGCGAGTGGATCTGAACCTGTCACCGCTCCGAGTTCAACCCGAGGTCGCCGATGATTGCCTTCTACTGCAGGTACAAGTCTATACGCATCCTTTCATCGCGAAGGTGTACGTGTGCCGCATTTTGATGTGACGGTAGGAAATATCTTCTCGTGTCCTGCCGTATGCACTTGATTGAGCGGATTTAACACGCCCACGGCCTCTAGCGTGCTTACGCTGTGGATGCTACTGCAGGGGTGGTTCTCCGGTCGGATGCAGTAACATGCAGTGTCGTCAATGTATGTCTGGTAATAGGGCTGAAGAACCGTTATCTGGGCAAAGCGTAGGTCCGCGGTTCCAGGTCCATGTTGTACGAAAACCTGTACGTGCTTGACGACTGCTCAGTCGTCCGAACATGTTCGATATGGCTGCCGGGTTGACCATGCGGGACTGCCCTCCCAGAGCAGCGAAGGGTGCTACCAGAACTCTCACCCCTATCAGCGGCAAAAATTTGCGTATCTGCGATGGTCAAGCCGGCGCATCAGCTTCTCGTATGGTAGGTGAGCGAAAGATGGGGTCTGTTGTCAGAGGACTAGCCTTCTCCCGGCGCTCTGTCCGTTGACTGATCGACGGTGGCCATCAAACCTGCCTGAAGATGCGCGGAAGACCTGGATCAGAGGAGATGGTTCACATGATATTTCATGTTGAACGAATCACCCCTCTCACCGCATCGCAAGACTGCCATTGCGACGGTCCATAAGGTCTGTGCCCCTCCGGCGTTGCATGCCGTTTTCCACCGGCTTGTTTTTGTCATTGATAAATGGTTTGCGTGGCCAATCTCGCGCAATATCGATAGACGTCCTGGGAGCCCAGACTTCCAGGAAGAGAAATATCAAGTAATCAATGATGACACAAAGACAGAAGAGTTTGCCGGCCCAGATCCCGCATCCATAATACCGCTTCAGCCGGTCGATTAGAGCATATGAGCGACTGCGCGTCGAATTCCAGCTTGCGCCTGGGTGTTGTCCATAGAACTCTTCTTCACTAATCGCGCCAGTGATGCCATCATATACCCGTTCGGTTCGTTGAGCAATGTCAGTCCAGGAGTACATCATCTTGACTTGGTCATGAAACCGTTCGGTTTTGACTCTTCCTGAACGCAGTGCTGCGATTGCTTTGCCCGTTGCCAATACTAAATCGTCTTCCTCGGGTTTGGCAAAGGTTGTCATGTGTGCTGGAAGGACTTCAGGAATACCTCCCACCCGGGTACACACAACGTATAGTCCACAGCTCGCTGCTTCAACGATCACAGTCCCGAAAGCCTCGGTCAGACTGGGATGTAAATAGATATGCCCTCGCACCATGACATCCCGGACCTCCTCATGCCGAACCGGCCCCAGAAGTTCCACTTTGTCTTGAAGCATTTGCCGTTCAATCATTTGTTCCAAATCGATGGCTTTAGGTCCGGATCCGGCAATGATGAAGCGCACGTTCGGGTGTGCCGCGAGAATCCTGGGTATTGCTGCGATCAGTAGGTCTGTACCTTTGTTGTAGAACAGGCGAGAGATCACCACAATGACGATGGTGTCATGAGGTCCTAGTCGTCGGGGCATGGGCTGGGGGCGCATATATCCCACTTCTTGCCCCTTAGGCGTATATGTTTCCGGTTGAAAATTCTCGGCCACCACCGCGTTTGGTATGACCGAAACCATCAAAGGGTCAAGAGATGCTCGAAGAACAGTGTTCTCTTTGCACGTGTGGCTGACACAGATCACATGGTCGACATCACTCAATGTAAATTTCAGTAATTTATTGGTCAGAATGGAACCCGCATCAGCAAAGCCGAAGAGAGAGTGGTCGGTGAACACCGTACGTAGTCCCATGGTGCGAGCATGTAGGATCGCTTCGTGGCAGAAACTGCTCAAGCTGGCATGGCCATGGACAATCTGAATTCTCTCCCGGATGACAATGTTTCGGAATATGGGGAAAAAGGAAAAGACGGTTGGCATGGTCGTCTCTCGATAGATAACCAAAAATGGCACATGGTACACCTTGAGTCCATTCGTCAGGTAACGGACTCCCGTCCTTCCTTTGTAGGCATGTGTGATGACCACAACCTTATGGCCGCGATCGATTAATTTCGAAGACAACTGGTAGATATGGCTTTCCACGCCTCCTGGCTGTGGGAAGAAGAAGTCGCTAACCATTGCGATGTTATACGGCATCTTGAACAGTCGTCTTTTGCCGATCTCGAATCGCTGTTATCCGTAAGCAAAGACTTCATGCTGGACGTAATCTCGGACCAGAAAGGACAAGCTTGTTTGTGTACCTGGAGTTGTCTGATGTTGCTTGTTCGATAATACATCGTGACGGCGAGGTTCAAGTTTGTCCCTGGTTTAGCGCTTGGATTACGTTGCGCTCCGCCGTTGGAGTAGGGCGGGCCACAGCACTCCCCTTGACCCAAAAGCGGTGTGAATTCTGCCGGCGGAAAACGACGTCTCCACGAACTTTTTCCAGTTCGAGTCCTCGACGATAGATTGGAGCCATGCCAGTGTTGCAGTAGCATTCACAGGGCTACATACAAAGACTACAGCAGACAAGGGGCACCACGCTTTGAATGTCCAGACGCTCGGTCCGCCAGACACATGTCGAACTTCTATGCTCGATATGTGCCTCCCTCCAAGAAGCCTGAGGAGGCGGCCAGCAGCCCATCACCGTCAACCACAAAGCGCAAGCGAGAAGGCGAGGTAACCACCAAGCACAAGCGGGAGAAAAAGCCAAAGCTTTCTAAAACAGACAATACGCCGCCTCAAGTGCCCGAACCTGCACCGTCAGAGCGAGCTGCGCCCATCGACTATTCAGCCGTCCCTGATGGCGGTTCAATCATTGACAAATACCGCGTTACGGAATCTGCGCGAAGTGCGAACCCTGCCGCCGTCATAAAACCCCGGCGGCGGAAAGCCTCTGTAGAACAGGCTGAAGACAAAGAGAGCCCCGAGGATGAGGGCGACAGCAGAGAAAACCACACATCACCGGCGACTTCGGATCTGGCGCAAACTGCGAAAGACGATGGCTCATATCAGAAGAAACATGCTGCAGTGTTGTCCAAGTTCGAGAAGGCAAGGCAGGAAGAGTCAGCACGACCGCATGACTCTAAGGTCGTTTCGGAGCAACCACCCGTCAAACTCCACGGCCTTGAGCCATTACCACAACCAGAACAAGTGGAAGTTGTCCCAAGCAAGCCGACATACTCTACTTTACCTGGCTGGCAGGCCGCGCCACTACATGTTTCCCCCGAGTTGACAGCCACTTTCGACAAACTGGGTGTCTCACATGAATTGCTGGACAATTTGCGCCGCAATGGACTGGAGACAGCCTTCCCGGTACAAGCAGCGGTATTGCCTTTACTGCTGGACGGGTCTAAAAAACACAATGGTGACCTCTGTGTGTCGGCAGCGACTGGTTCCGGAAAGACTCTTGCCTATGTCCTTCCAGCAGTCGAAAGCTTACGAGGTCGTGTCGGCACCAAGCTCAGGGCCGTGATCGTAGTCCCCACGCGCGAGCTGGTCAAGCAGGTACGCGAGACCTGCGAGATCTGTGCTTCCGGGACCTCATTGAAGATTGCCACTACTGTGGGGAGTAAATCAATCAAGGAAGAACAGGATATGCTCGTGGCGGAGGAGAAAATCTACGACCCCGAACAATATCGAAAAGAGCAGGCCAGCCCTATCGACTGGTCCTCCTTGTCTCTAGAGAAGACAATCCAAAAATGCAGCTCCGAAGATCCAACGGATCCTATTGGTTATGTGACTCGATACAGGTCCCAAGTGGACCTTCTTATCACGACGCCGGGCCGCCTAGTTGATCATATGAAGAGCACCCCGGGTTTTAATCTGGACGATGTGAGGTGGCTGGTAGTTGACGAGGCCGACAAGCTACTCAACGAAAGTTACCAAGAGTGGATTGAGGTGGTGGTTCCAGCTCTGCAGTCGCAAGCTGCCACGCAGGAGCGCGATGATTTGCTCAGATATATGAGGATGCCGCCCCCTAGACGGAAGGTGACGAAGGTCTTGCTGTCTGCCACAATGACCCGCGATGTCTCCAAGCTCAATGCTTTAGGATTGTACAATCCGAAAATGGTTGTGTTGGAGGGGGCCACTACAGGAGAGATGTCGACGCATGATGATGCCGGGGCATCCAGGTCCCATGATCTCAATGATGCCTTCCACATCCCTGAGTTGCTGGAAGAGGCAGCGATTCCTGTCCCTGATGGTTCCGAAAAGCCCTTGTACCTGTTGCAACTTCTTGAGAAACACATTGGAATTGTTCCTGCCTTACAGGACTCTGGTCCTGAAGAATCAACATCCGAGTCAGAATCAGACTCTAGTTCTGAATCTGAATCAGACAGCTCCTCGGAGTCTTCTGATTCAGACGATTCAACGTCTTCGGAAGAGACGGACAGCTCGAGCTCAGATAGTGCATCTTCTTCCAGTTCGGATTCAGGCGAAGAAAACACGACGGACCAAAAGGTCAACGGGACTACCAGGTCTCCTCGCGCATTGATTTTTACTCGTTCCACGGCCTCGGCTACCCGGTTATCAAGGCTGTTGACCCTTCTTTGTCCTGCTCTAGCTCCCCGGATGGCTACCTTGACGCGGAGTACCGCCTCATCGGCTTCATCCCGCCGCGCCTTGTCCTCTTTCCGCAATTCGAAGATATCAATTCTCATTGCTACGGACAGGGCATCACGCGGCCTGGACGTGCCTGGTCTAGAGCATGTTATCTCATATGATGTCCCCAGCAGTGCTTTGACGTACGTCCACCGCGTGGGCCGGTCTGCTCGCGCCGGGAATGCAGGACATGCATGGACCCTTGTCGAGCATCGAGAAGCTGCATGGTTCTGGCGGGAAATCGGAGCAAAAGGCAAAAAGGACAACGTCGCCACGACAGACAATGAGTTTACGATCCAACGAAAAACGCCAATCAAGCGCGTAAATATGAGTGTTGAAGACAAAGACCTCAAGGTGAGGTACGAGGCAGCGCTACAGCAACTAGGAGAAGAGGCTCGAAATAGCTAGTTTTTTGAGTATAAAGGAAGTGGGCAAAGGATAGGACGTTCATACCAAAGAACAAGTGAACATTTCCCTTTCTAATCCATTTATTATTAATTCTCCTGCTCTAGGCCATGTAAGCGAGGAAAATGAAAGCTTTTAGTCTGGTCCGTGTCACATTCAGTTGCTTCCGCTTCCATGCAATGTGCTATATATCCCTTTTTGGCGATCCGACCCGGCAAAAAAGCAAAAACAATCGACAGTCAGGATTCGCAACTGGTCACCCACGTTGCTACTAGCTGACCGGCATTGAGCTTAAGTACCACTGAGCGGACGGGAAGTGCTGTTTTCTCAATAAAATCCTATGGTCGATTGCAGAGGATAACTGTGTAGTTGAAAAATATATACCTCGACAGAAGGACGCGACGCGACGTGCATTTCAAGTGGACATATGTATGCCCACTGACCCACTCTGCTGCTCGACCCAAGTTATTGTTTGCGCCGAATACCAACTCCCGGGTCGGAGGGTCGGATCCATGGATACCTAGGTATTGATCATTGCTAGCTCTTGTCGTAGACCTCGTGGAAACAGCCAGGCTCTCGGAGGGCAAACGTCGATACGTCCAATGCTGTACATACGAACATAGATCCTGTATGTACTACCGCGGGACGGGTGAAACGGTTCGTCAAACTCGATGCCACTAGAACATATACCTACCTATGTATAATATACTTCTAGCTTAGAAATGCCCGTCGCGCGTTGCGCGCGTGCTCGCTAGAATATGCATCGATCTTGACGCCGACCAGGACGATTTCATAGCCGGTGCCTGCATTGCCCTGCGTGACAGGCTGGATCCGCAGCCGCCACTGGCCGGTTCGGATTGTCCATTCTGTTCTGCTTTCGCCGTGGCTAGGCTGTCTCTTTCTCTTTTTCGCGGAGGGCGTTGAAGTTGGGCCTTGAGGTGCCGTCGGGATGGAGTGCCGAGATGGGGGAGGAGGAGGAGGAGCAAACTGGGACGACGGACCAGTTTTGAGCTGAGGCTGATTATGTTGGCCACCACTACCCACAACAGAAATCTCTTGCTGCATATTTTGATCCCACTCCCCATCGTAGCGCTCGCCATTTAGCGTGATGGCCGTTGCAGCCTCGAAGCGCACCTTGACCCGACTCTCGCTACTGAGTGGTGTATGGGCAGGAGATTGAGAGGACGACCCAGCGGACTCGGAAAGCATCATCAGTCCCAATGGAGCGGTTGTTGGTAGATTCATTTTGTTCGCGACAACCTGGAAAAGAGAGGCCATGCGCGCCTTGGTCTGCCCATGAAATTCGGCCCTCATCTCAGCCAGGTCAAGCAACGTACTTTCGCCGCCAATCTCAACAACCATCTCATACAATGTGTCGTCCACAAAGGGGCGGGCGTAGTACACCCAGCCTCCTGTTGTTGCTGTTGCTGTTGACTTATCTCCGGAACCTCCGTCGTCGTCACTCTTGTATGAAACCCCAGAAGGTTTGACATCTTCCAAGCGAAGGCAGATCTCCTGTTTCTGTCTCTGCAGATTATAACTGATTTCGTGAGCAATTATTTTCTGCTCCAGGCCCCGTAGATGGAAGTAGCGACAATCACGCAGAAGCTCCGCCCGGTGGGATTCGTTCCTCACGTGTAGCGGGTAGCCGCGTAGTAAGTGAAGTAATTCGGCGAATATCTCTCCAGATCGACCCGGGACCGCTGGTGGAGTTATGGAAGGCGGGCGGAGCAGCCCTCGTCGGTCTAGCCCGGGAAACACTTCTCCAGGCGACGAGAAGAAGACCGCAAAACCGAGAGAGAAAAAATTGGGAGAATTTCCGGGGTCTGAGAAGATATCTTTCGGAATCTGGAAGTGCCGTTCGCCGATTTGAATGTAGATTTCGGATTCGAAAAGTTGGTCGATTAGTCGCGGCACTGAAACCAAAAATCAGTGCTGGACCACGACAACAAAGTGCTTCGCAATCAACCTACAGCTGTAGAACTGGGCATCTGCGAACAGTTTCACGAAATGGCTCCCGTCGACAGGCTTCACATAATACCCTGCATCCGTGTCAGTGGCGGGCATGGGAGAGGGATATAGTTAGCACCTTGTAAATGTCGCACTACGTCGCGGAACGTGCTGGGGTCTCGGTCGATGTAAAGAGTGCGCACGCCGCCTGTCTCCTCATTCTGCCTGATCTGATCCTCGAAGAACTGCGTAAAGTAGGAAGGGGCTGTGCGTATGGGTCAGAGATGGCATTTACAGCCTAGTAGTCATAAAGTGGAGGACCTACCATCGGAGGATATGGAGGCCCCGGATAACCTGAACAAATCAGACCCGATTTGTATGGGAAAGACCTTTTCGGGAGGAAGAATTGAAGGAGGGTGGCCGGATGGCGTGCGGCTACCCCTATTCTGGCTTGAGCCTTGTGACGAGCTGGATGGAACGTTCAACGAGGGTTGGGATGCTGAGGCTGTTGACGGCTTTGTCTTTCGGTTCCCAGCAAGCTCAGCCGTGCGCTGCTTAGTCCTCTGTGTGCTGTGTATATCCGAAGAGGCTGGCTCCTCGCCAGGAGAAGCTGGATCCGGACCCGTCATCCGCTCGAAGCTGCCTGGTTGACTGTGTGATGGCCAGAATTTAAGTCAATTTTGAACGAGAGCAGATGACACTGTATCCCTTTATTGCCAGAAGAGGTTGGTTCCGCCGTGCTAAATAAGTATTCTGCAGTGATGCAAGAAGCAGAACAAGGACCGAACTGATACTGCGACCAGTCTAGGGGCACATGTTGTTGTGCCTTCCTCCGCGCATTGGTTTCAACACGGCCTTCTGAATCCCGCCGCAGCGGAGACGAGGCAGCGTTGAGTCCCGGAGTTTTCAGTGCCCCTAGGATAAAAGGGCCAGTTGCTGTCCCGTAAAGCCAATGAGGAGTTGCCTCGTACGCCAACTGGAGCACCAATCAAAAGCAGCCGCGTCAAGGTCTCCGGCGGAAGCACGAAGCACTTATGTATGTATCAGAAAGATCCGTTGTTGGTGTTAGCGAACAATGCCATGGGCAACTCCCGCGATATGATTGAAAGCTTTGAACGAGGAAGCTCGCGTGGGTAGGAAAGGATTGTTGGTCGTGTCAGCAGTCGCGATGAAAATACACGGAGTATTGGTTCTGGCGTAGTAATAATAGTCTAATGATTAGTAACCTAAAAACTAGGCTTTCGGGCGGTTTGCGGTACCATTGCGCCGGTATTTCAATCTGCGGCCTTATGCGACGCTTGATCGAGACGGTGAATAATGCAGATGGCTGGGGAAGCCCACTTGGTGCTCGTGACTATGCCATATAAAGTAGCTGTCAGGCAGAAGTGGGCCACCGCCATCTTTGAATTGAGACGGTGTTCTGGACTCCGAGGATAAAAGTCTCGAAAGTAAGCGAATGCCCGATCTTAACGACTCGTGCTGCGATAACACACGCGAGCGTTACAGATGCCTTGCGGTGCATCCAGACCTCGCATGGAGAAAAACCAAAGGCGGAACTTCCCGGAAAATTAAACCAACCCTGGAGGTTGGCGATTCAAGTTAGCACAGCTGAAGAATACTCCTCGAAACCTCCCGGGTGTAACCTCGCAAAATCCTGTCCCATATAAGGCAATCGGAGCGTCTGACAGTTCCTGGGGACATTCGACGCGCAGTTTCGGCTGCGTGATAGCTGATTGAAGTGCGAGCTTCCATCGGTTTGGACCAAATTGTTACGATGAGTAAGTCGGACGGACATACAAGGTGGCCGCTCGATTGGCCATGATTGCGGCACTAATTCTTGTAATGCACCTCGATTACGGAGAGTCCGCGCTATTGGTGTGAGCTGTGAATGTGGCTAGGAACAATCGTAGAGCCGGGATAGGTGTTCGAAGGTAGGCCCCGTGATACTTGCGAATGATGGTCATAATATGATATATCTAGTATACCAAGACCCTCGGTTTCTGAGTTCGGGTGCTTAATGGTGGGTAGAGCTCCCAACTATGCTTGAGAACACCTAGCGCGAAAGAAATTGCCTGGTCACCCAGGGAAAGCAAAGTAGCCCGAACCTGATCTGACAGTCGGTGACCCGAGTCGGTGAACGCGAAGACGAACCCAGAAGCAGGACGAGTGGACCTTGTTTGATCAGAGCTGCCGCAGAAGGCCGCCAGTCCAGTCGTTCGGTTGAAGCGAGGAGATCAGATCAAAAGCTCGACTACAGGAAACAGAGAAGTGTTGACATATTCTGCAAATTTCCGCAATGTATGTGAACACATATATTGTCATCGGCATATACGTACATCATCGACCACTCCACTGTCCATCCAAAGGGCTATATGTGAGTAGAATCCAATGGATTTGCCAAGCTTGCCTGAGATGGAGCGGGATCTGGTATGGTTTCCGGTCCGGCAAAAGGATATCTCTGCAGCGTACTGTACAACAGGCTTAACCACGGCAGTGGGACATCTGAGCTCCACTTCACATGGATGTTTTGAACTCGCCCTCCAGCTCGATGATCTTTTGAACCGAGCGTTTATAGGCTTCCCGCTCATGGATTCGGTCAACATAGGCCCAGATCTTCGGATATTGTTCCCTTGAAAACCCTGAGCGACTTCGGCCAGCTTCCAACGGGAATGACAACATGATATCGGCCGCGCTCAGGTCGCTTCCACATAAAAAACTGCCGCCGTCGGGAGAAGTTGAGAGCTGGCCTTCCAGAAAGTCATAATGGGTCTTGAAGTTGCGCTGCAAGAAAGCCGACTCGATCTTGCTGGCCACGCCATTTGTGATAGGCTTGATGAAGAATGGCACAGGTGAGTTCCGAATCCCTGGCTGATGTTAGCATCCGTATCAGTTTCCCACGCAGAGGAAAAACATTACTTTGGACCATCAAAGACATCAACATCAGTGGCATGAGACTGCCCTCAGCATAGTGCATGAGCATTCGGTATCTCAACCACGACTCAGACTCGCCGCCGATCTGCCCTTCTTTGCCTTCACGGTAGCGTTTGGGTACTAGGTGAGTTCCATAGTAGTCGCACAGGTACTCGCAGATAGCTGCAGATTCAGCAAGCACAATCGGCTTCTCATTGCCCGGTACCTGGATCTCAATGACAGGGGATTTTCCGAGCGGGTGCACTTTGTTCAGTTCGGGCGGAGCCAGGCCTTCTTTCGTCCTCTTGTACGTCTTCAGATCGTACGGAAGCCCGAGCTCTTCCAAGAGCCACAAGATCCGGTGTGATCGAGAGACTTCTAGCCTGTGTTGTGTCAGAACAGCAATGTCCACAGACAGAGTTAGACTGACCAGTGAAGTGTGATCTTTGGCTTCTCATCGGCGTTAGGGCCAGACGATGACATGGTGTATGCTGAACTAAATTGGTTCCTCGATATTGACCAGGAGCTTCGGAGAAACTGAGAGCGACGTCCTTGATCGCAGCCAGAAGGCAGAGTTTGTCACGATTCCGGCCGTTTCAACAAACTTCAAGATTCGTTCGATATCCAATGATAGTACCTACTGATTGACTTCCAAGTTTTGTACTTTCTCCTCGGTCAGTTGTTGCAGTGTACAGTGTTGATAAATTCAATTGATCATTGTGAAGCTAGTCTTCAAGTACCTCCTCGCCAGTCCTTGCAGGAATTTATGAATTCATGTTCGCTGTTGAAGTTCCTCCGACGGCCATTCAACGTTATGTCACTACGTACGTTAAAGTGGAACCCTGCTACAAGGTTCAAGTTATAGTATCGCTCCTAGAGGTGTCTAAAATGGTACCTCGGCACTAGCGCCTACTACTAGTAGGAGAACTCCTGCACCGCCACGCCAAGTGATTCAGCCACATCTGTCAGCCACTCCGCTTGCACCACCTCAATTGACGAGCCTTTGACATCGCAGGTAAAGTAAGCTGCGATACAGCTCTTCAACAACTCTCCACGTCTGAAGAGGTGCTCAAACATGGCCGGACCAACACGTAAGCATTGATGTTTTCAATGGAGAAAGCCTAGGGACTATAAGTGCATGCTAACCGTACTGTCCTGCAGCCCTACACCTCGATCCCGCTCTCGAGAAATATAACCGTACGTCACCCTCAAACTCGCTTGTCTAATGACTCGATGGTTCATCCTCATGGCTTGGATCAGGACTCGGACAATCTGCGGCAGGATGTTGTTACTGACTTGGCGACACAGAACTCAACAAAGAGAGATGGAGATACTTCAAGTGGACGCCCCGTACCGCATGGATTTCCTTCATGTACGCCGTCTTCGTTCCTACCGTGGTAGGATACGCGCTTGCAAAGACAGATGTGAGTTACAATCTCCCTGCAATGTCCCGCTGTTGGGTGGCCGGGCCATAAAGCATGTCTTGCTGATTGCGCGTGATAAACAATTAGGGCAAATATGATATGCGAGGAAAGTTGAGAGGAGACACTATCAGCGAGTTTTAAAGCCTGACAATGAGGCGGGGTTTGCAAGGAGGAATCCGGCCCTAAGAGATTGTACATACGATCTGATATGCGCTGGGAGAACGCCAGCAACGAATCCTCGATACACAACATATGTCTTTGTGGACTTTCAGCCGAATCAAGGAATAGATGATATCCCGCAATCTTGAAAATTGGAAGAACACACGCTTTCCGCTGCATATCACGTTTCACTGCGCCGAGTTCGCCGAATTGCTGCACCAAGACCTGTCCGCGGTGAGAGGAATGGCGACATGATTCTGAATGTACATTTGACTTTCGGACCGCCTGGGCCGAGCAGCCTTTCGTCTGTTGCCACCTCGTCAGGCCATGGCACATTGCCCCATATTGCCTTGAAATTCGGGCTTCAAGAGAATTAGTGATGCATTCGTTTAGAGCATCAGGACTTGAAGTCGACGCGGTGACTTTGCTTGAGTAGTAGTGCAATTGCATGCGACTTCAAGACTGGCCAGGGCAGCATCCTCGAACCAATCCATGAAGGTCCAGTTCGTCTTCGCGTTTTGCACGGAACTTGCGCCAATGCCTTTTGAGAGTTTCGACGTGTGACGCGTTTGCTTCGTCACGTAGACCGGTTGATTAGGTATATTCTCGCGGACTTCGAGTTTGCACTGGCCGGAATCTGTAGATGAACAAGCCAACCTCAACGCTGGCAAGACGTAGTCGAGATCTGTACCGTTTCTGGCAAGCCAGCCCCTGTCGCAAGGCTCTTGCTATAGTTCACAGTGCTGCTAGACCTATGACAGAGCATTGGAATTCTGTGGTCCCGAAATCTCAACTCAACCGTTTCCACATTCCCAAATGCTCAATCCCCTCTTCGTCCCACCGTCCCAATCGTGGATCAGTAACAAACCCCAACTTCGAATACATCTTCTCGACGTCGACTTGAGCATGGCAAAGCACCAGGCCGTTCCACCCAGGGTCAATTTCTTCCTTGTGCGCAGCATGATACCGGAAAGCGGCATCAGTCAACATCCGACTGAGGCCCTTCCCTCTGGCATTTTTCATAGTTGCAACGCGGCCAAGTTTGACGTACGGCTCTTCAGAAGGGTCATGGAATCCGTTGGGGTGCGGTCCATGAGGTGGCGGTACAATACGAATGACCGAAACAGGCTGGCCGTCTTGATATGCCACCCAGTGCCAGGATCGTAGGTCGTCCTCGTCCAACTCCGGCTCCAATGCGCAATTTTGCTCTTCACAAAAGACCTTGATACGGACCTCCATGGCGTCCAGGAAGACTTGAGGCGCGCCCTCTGGCCGTGGGTTGGCCGGGAAGCCATGAGGAGCCACGATCTCACCTGGTGGAGGGAGCATCACAATTTTTACATCTTGGGATGTTGATCCCATTGCCGCGGGCGGACAGTGTCTTGAGTCTCCTGTAGAGAAACTGTATATCTGAGAATGATGCTCGAGCACCACTGAAATTGTGCTTCGTGGGATATAGGTTGTCGTTGATCCGGGAACTAGTGTAAGCAATCACCATTTTGATGTCGTAGTCGTGGTGGACAGGATATGCGGAGTAAACTGAACTTCAGGTCCCAATTTTTATTTTTATTCTATTGACCGCGCTCATCACCAGCCTCATCCTCAACTTCCCCGGCCCGGCTACCGCTGGTCGCATAGATGAGATGTCCCTATATTACGATGCCGCTACTGTCCTGACAAACGATGGTCTTTCTGGATCTCTCAAATCCCGCATCTATGGCAACAACTTGGAGTTGAAATCCAAGCCGGCGCATTTATATGCCTTGATCTCGGAGACCGCGAAATTCGATGGCTTTTTGAAAGAGGTCATTGACAATGCGGGCTTGCTGGCGCAAGAACCAAAGGTTCGTGTCTGAGTGCCCCGTATACTTTGTGTCACTGCTGACTGACGCAGCCGCTGTACGGCATGACGGAATAGTTGAACCCTACACTGTCTCTGCTGCTGGTTCACGATCACCTACTTTCCAAAAGCGGGATTGCCGCATCCTCCAGTCACCCGCTACGACAGGCGATAGAAAGACACAAAGCAAGGTTACAAGCAGAATTCACAAAGGCTAGGTTGAGAAGGAAATGCGCTACGGTAGATGACCTGAAACGGCATCTTTTGAAGGAAAAACCACCGACGCACCGTTCCCAACCTCGATGGATCCGAATCAATACCCTCAAAACGAGCATTGATGAACAACTCGCAACCTCTTTCAATGGGTTTCGGAGGGATGCAACCGTGGCCGAGGTGGTAGAATCTGCGAGCACGGACAAAGTCCTGGCTATCGACCAGAACATCCCCAATGTCATAGCGCTACCTCCGGAGGCGGACGTCACCAAGACAGAAGCATATAAACTGGGCAAACTGATTTTGCAGGACAAAGCCTCCTGTTTCCCGGCGTACCTGCTAGTCGGTCAGGGGGATGGCGGCGTCACAATTGGCGATTGCATAGATGGGTGTGCGGCACCTGGAAATAAGACCTCGCATCTTGCGGCTATTCTTGCGTCTTCTGGTCATTCAACCAGCAGGATATATGCATGTGAACGAGATGCTACGCGATCGAAAATACTGAAGAGCATGATGGAGAAGAGTGGTGCGGAAAAGGTCAAGGTACTTTTCAAACAGGATTTCCTCGCTTTGGACCCTCAGTCGCCGAAGTACAAGAATGTTACTCATCTACTTCTTGATCCAAGCTGCTCTGGCAGTGGAATTGTTGGACGCGAGGACGTTCCTACGCTAGCGCTGCCCTTGGACCCGAGGCAACAGAAAGCCCAGGGCGGCAAACATGCAGGAAACCTTAAGAAGAGGAAGCGTGGCAGAGAAGAAGCGCAAACGGAGCGGACGATTGAGCATGACTCCCTTGAAGCGGAGGAAACCAAAGAAGCTGCTCCCAATCAGGAACGTTTGCAGAAGCTATCCGCGTTGCAGACAATGATTGTGGAACATGCTCTTTCTTTCCCCTCAGCGACTCGAATCACCTATTCTACCTGCTCGCTGCATGTCGAGGAAAATGAGGCCGTTGTGTCACGGATCCTCAGTTCTAAAAATGCCATATCGCGAGGCTGGCGCGTGCTACGCAGGGACGAGCAGCCGGACGGACTGCGGCAATGGGAGCATCGGGGTGTAACTGATCCACCTATTGTGGGAAGCCGTGCGTTGAGCGAGGGAGAGCTGGAGGCTTGCATACGTTGCTATCCGGACAATGGGGACGGTACCATGGGCTTCTTCGTTTGCGGCTTCGTACGCGATGATGCAGAGGACAGGGGCCCTAACGACGCCGATAAGGCTGATGAGGCCGATCAAGTCGATGACGACTGGGAGGGATTTAGTGAATAGGCCACCTGGACATGCCTCGCTGGTGTTCATCCTTCAGACATGGCTGCAATACATGTGCTTGCTTGCCCAACCAGCTTGGTAGCCCAAGTCAAAAGAACATACTGTACATCTGCGGCCAGGACTGATGGGCCAAACTCGTAAGGCAAAAGTAACAGGACTTACATGTGGTTGAACAACAGCCAATCAGCGCTGTGCCAAGTCCGTATGCCAGTGGCAGTCTTGACCTCGTCCAAACAGAGTAATAGGTACCTTACATATCTACCAACAGGTACTATACTTGTACTTGTCCTATAACAATTGAAATGGTCCATCATCAACCATAATCCTGCCTACTGGCACATGGAGGAGGGAGCTTGTATCGCCATATAAGCCGAGGTGGAAGCCTCTTATCATTACATCGCCAGCCATGCAGCCCAGCATCTACGCGATGTGACGAGGATTTGTCAGCATTTTTCTTCGGGATACAACAATACTTCCTCGCATTCAGTGCGTTACAAATTAGTCCTGATGGCTAATGTTTGACCTTCTACCCGCTAGTCCCGGACCCTTCGTTCCATAAGCCAAGGCCCTGCATGAGCAGGTATCCTGATGGCAGCGATGTCCCATTCGGGCAATGGAGGGTCTCCAAACTTCCTGAGCGCGTCGCTGAGCCCGAGATTCAAAGCAGTGAAGCGTCACATCACAAGAAGTCGAACGTCATATAGCTGCTCGACATGCAGAAGACGCAAAATCAAGTGCGATAAAATCCATCCAGTATGTGGAGGATGCAGGAAGGCCAACGAGAAGTGCGTGTATATCTCGGATGGGGTGCAAACGGCTGCTTCTACGGAAGACACGGGACTTGAAGAGGATAACGAGGCCAAGAAAAGGAAAATCAGCCCTATCTCCCAGACGTCGTCGGCTTCCCTGCTCGCTCCCGCCAGTGATGGTAACGCCACCTCAACTCAACTCAAGGTTATCGAAGAACAGCTGCGTCGTCTAACGTCAATGCTCGATGCTTTGCGTGAGAGCGGCGGTGACGACTTACGATTACGCGACCTGCTCACGTCTCTCTCCACCAGCTCCAAAGAGAGCAGTCATCTGCCGGCATCAAGTGTGAACACACCCCAGAATAAAGCCAATGACGTAGGGAGAAATACAACGGACCTGAGCCGGCCGTTGTCGGGACTGAGTCTGACGGATGGTACCCGGGGACATTATGACCCCTTGTGGGATGTCATTGTCGAGGAACTTGATGAGCTCAATCGCCGCATGCGCACCCCGACGAACGAACAAGTGAGTTCCCCAGATAGTCAAGTGCATGCTTGTCAGGGAGGATGCGCACAACCAGTTGAAAATCATACTGTCCCGGAAGATGAGGATACTTGGGACCAAATGAGTTTTCACAGAGAAGCCGGCCTGGACATGCCCGACCGTTATGACTTGGCAGGTGACTGCTCAGTCTGTCAGCGGATGCCATTCAGTAAATCCACTCTGCTGCAGGGCCTGCCAGGGAGAGGTAGGTCGAACAACTCCAGATCTCACTTCATGAGATGTTTACCTACCAGAGGTCAGAGCAACGTCCTTCTCAGATGCTGGTTATCCGGTGTATATCCAATCATGCCCATATTGGATCCCACAGAGCTTTTGGCCATGCACGAAGCTTTCTGGGCTCATCTTGATGAAGACCAACCCTCCGAAGAGGGCTTCCCATATTTGGGTATCATGGCACTGATGTATGGAATATGGTATACAGCGTCGCTGAGTATCTCAAACAAGGGGCTCCAGCGTTGGTTTCCGCATACCACAAGAGCAGCGCTTGCCTCCGCCTTCCATGACCAAGTAGTCCTGTGCTTGACATCGGCATCTTTTTCGAGGAATATTGCTCTGAACAAGGTGGCTGCCCTTGTTGTCATTATTTCGGTTCCTGCTGGTGAAGAGGATCCATTACAAGAGAGCCTGTATATGCAGCTTGTTATTCGGCTAGCTTCCACTCTGGGACTCCACAGAGACCCCGACCTGTTCAACATTTCAAAATCTGCGGGATGTATGCGTCGACGTCTCTGGTGGCAGATTGTCCAAATGGATATGGCGCTTTCCGTGGCAAGCAGGTCCCCCTCTCAGATTTCAGAAGCCTTTTGTGACACCAGGTTGGCGTTCGAACAATCGGATCCGACCATTCACAAGGACAACGATCAGAGTGCGAACCTGAGCGGGATATCTTATATCTCGCTATCCGGTCTCGAAACCAACACTGAAGATCATATCTCTCTTCCGGATACTGTGCAGCTATTTGCAAGGGCAAGATCATTTATGGCTCATGCATTGCGTAGTGTGGTATCAATCCATCTACGGCCCAGGATGCTCACAAATGCAGACATGCATGAAATGAAAAGAATCATGGAGGAAGCAGGAGATGAGATCAGCGCCGTCATTAAACTGATACCTGCAAAAGGATTACCGGAGCTCGGCTTTATTCCGCACGGGCCAGCAAGAATGGAAGTTCAAGCATTGGACTGCGATCAAATGATGGCCGACCCCATCAACCTTGCGGAGCCAGCATACTTCAATGTCAGAGCAGCGGATGAATTACCATCGCCTCTGAAAAGGTGTTACCGACCGAAGCTGGCGGCTTTCAACAAGTGGGCGAGAATCAGCCTTTCCCTACTGAAGGACAGGCTTTATTGCGTCGCATACGCACCGTTCCTGAAGAATGGAAAGAGCAAGTTGTGGGATGTAGGGAGGCAATGTGCGCTTCATAACAGTCACAGCTTCATGAGGAAGTTCATCTCCTTAGCTACAGACCCGGACTTGCAACCATTCAGGTGGACATGGCCTGCAATGCATGGACCGTTGCATGCAGTTATGATCGCACTGGTCGACCTGTACGAAAGGCCCAACAGCATTGAAGCACCACGTTCAAGGGAGCTTGTTGATACGATTTTCGCTCTGGCTGCTCCAGAATCAGGCATCGTGGGGGGCCCGAATGGAGTCACCGCTCAGAGACCCATGCGAGAAGCAGGTCCCGAGATCTGGGACATGTTGCGTGGACTCCGGTCCGCAGCCTGGCAGAGGGCGAGACTGGATCCGATGTTTCTGTGGACCGTGCATGATCAGATTGCCGTTGGCGTTGCAGCTCCACTCAGTGATGCGCAAAGGATCGCTCAAAATCTCAGGGAAGATGCTGTCGATGAGTATACTCGATCTTCCACGCGTCCCCAGGCTCCAGAGGAGGGTAATGCTGTTCCTGAGACGACTGAATCCGGCGCTGAATACTTGGGAATGCCTGCCCAGAACGGAATAGGGAGGCCAGACGAACCAGAGGACGATCCGTGTGTGCGATCGCTGAGGTGTGGATTGCCCGACGACATAGAAAACGACATCCCCGTCAATGGAACTCGGGGTTTATGCCGACGACAAAACCAGCGCCCGATGCCTTTCCTGCCGATCTGCCGGTTGCCGAAGTGTGCAGGGGAAACGGCTTTGAACAGCTTGCCAGAACAATTACCACAGACCAATGAACCTTTTCCCAGGTCTGCGATTCGGGCGCGATGCAGCCCTGGAGAGGCTCCCTTTGATAATGCCGTTCCGATAGGGGAAACCTTGCCCATCGAACCCACGGTCCAGCGGTATTCGGGTGGAGAGCCATTGACACGTGAGCCTGCCATCTCGCAAGGAACAGCATCGCAGACCCCGGCTATGGATACTAGGGTTGAACCCATTTCGCAAAACGACCTAAGCAGCCCTTCGGATGGCTATAGTAGCTACCTCCGAGACGACCAGCTTTCTTATTTGCGCGACAATGCAGCCAAGTCTGACTCCGGGTTGCACCATGACGCGGCACCTGTCACAACGGCGGACCTGGGGTTCGACTGGGACCGCTGGGATGCAGTATTTGGCCAATACGCCGGATTCACTGATTTGATGCAGGATGTGACATGGGATGACTACGTTGACGAGTGACGGAAGGCTCCGTGTCGGTGCCGTACGAACTGGTCGAGCTCGCCTTCCGCAATGATATGACCGTTGCACTCATAGCCCAAATTATTCAGTGGTCTGGCCGTCGAAGGCTGAGTATTCCACAAAATGGACTCTTCGCAGCAAGACATCTCTGAGACGCGCCGCAGCTCTCTCTTCGACTATTCAGAAGTCGTTACGCTGATGGTGGGAAAGGGAAAACGGACGACCCAACACTGTTTTTCTGCAAGTCTCCCAAGATTGTGCTCGGAATCTCCATACTTCAAGGACAGGCTCTTTGGAGACCATCAAGAAGCGAGAGACCGCAACATCCAATTTGGCACCATTGATCCTCGCACAGTTGTCTGCATGCTATACTGGTTTCGAGGATGGACATGCCCCTATTGCCACGAAGACGCCCATCACATTGTTGATTCATATGTGCTCGCGCAGAAGTACAATATTCCACGATTCAAATCTGATTTGGTTCGGGAGATGCAGACCGTACTCGACAATAACGCCGCGGATACGTCAGTGCTCAGTTGCTTTGTCCATTTATACCGAGTTTTGCCGGACGACTCTCAGCTTTTCGACCTACTCCACCGCCACCTTCTTGATGAGCTGAAAGCCCTACTGCCTATTTTGGCGCAGGTTTATCAACCTTCACTTGCGAAACACCTTCGCGACTTGCTCGCTCTGAAGGGAGAGAAATTGTCGGAGATCAAAGCCCTGCTAGGTCATGCTTATCAGCACAGAAGTGCTCTTGATGCAGCCGACCTCACTCGACCGTTTGACACATTGTCTCCCAAGCCTCCTGACACCAAATCGCACCAAAATCGGTTCACAACCAGCTTCGACTCGATCAGAGGCGATTGCATTACATCGAGTACGACCTTACCATTTTCGGAGTTGATGAATGAGCAACGGGCCAGTAAGCATGGCAAGCACAAGATTATACCGAGATAATGGACATGTAATCCGGGGGACCATCGTTGCTATATGGGCACATTTTGGTCGGCCACGAAGCGACATCGTGGCATATTAACCACGAGGATATTTTGAAAAGTGCGCGATTATCACCCGAGCATAAATATGCACCGCATGTCGCGTATCAATAGCGTCGCCAACTTTACACAGAGGCAGTTGGTTCGAATTCACTCTGAGGCAGTTCGATCTGAATTCACGCCGAGGCAGTTTTCTCTGCTTTTCACGCCTGCGAATTCTCATCACTTCACCTCTATTCTCATCTATGCCTAGATCTTCCCCTAGGTCTGTCTACCGTCGCTCTCAATCTTACTTTCGTCTGGAGTCGTCCTCTGCCCCCTGCCCTTTTACAACATAACTCCGCACGCGTCCGACACTCAAGGACTGGCTTTCAGTGTCGTCGTCCTGGTGGTACAAACCTCAAGTTTCTCAACAGGGCAGTTTTCAACCAGGCGCAACCCTTCCGAGTACGTCGAGTCGTCCGTAAACTGGTCCCATCAAATGGCCGCTAACCTTGCTCCACCTAGCTATGCAAAGGAAGGTCTTATTTGGATTAGAGTGATGAGTTGGAACGCAATGGTCAACACGACGCAAAATTGACATTGTACCTGCGTGAAAAGGCAGCCTACGAGATTGTCAAAAATGGTTGCGCCAATTTCATCAAGGCAGGTGGCCAGGCTTGGAAAAGTTTGATAGTGGTGTCTGTTACCACTCCCGCTACCTTGGAAAGTCTCATGATGGAGGTTGATGAGGCTCATAAACTGGACAAGGTTCATGAGCTCAAAGATCCGGCGAAAACATTGGACTGCCGGTACCATATCCACGAAAAGGGAGAAGAAGCAGAGTGCCATCGCGTTAAAGATCGTATCATGTGAGGATCTTCCATTGTCGGCTAATCGAATCTTCCAAGCTCTCGACGACAGCTCATGGTTCGCGTACATGAGTCACTGCAGAGAATATCCAGACCAACGTTTACAGCAGTCCAACCAGCTGTATGCAGCCTTTTACCTCAGACTTGTTGCTGCAATGGGCACGACACAAAATCCAAGCTCGATATCCTAACGAGGACTTGAGCTGAACATCTGTCTTGAGAGAGCTTAAGAAGTTGAGACGAGTCTCAACTACAAGAAATAAGAGAACAAAGCATTTGAGTCCTGCTCTATTATTACTGCGTTAAGCATTACATCTTCTGCTTTCTATTTCCTGTTATACTAAATAGTCTATCTGATTGATGCTACCTAACTTGATACTCAGATCTTCGCGACTCCCGACTTCACTGACGACTCTTCCAAGCCTGAACAGAACCTCACTTTGCAATGACTATTCACTTAGTCTCCCTGCACAGGACTTCACTGCCGTGTCGCAAACAAAGTGATACTTCACATGATTCTTCCCGTGAAGCCTCCACTTCACTAAGCACCTTTATCAACCCGCGTGGTCCCTAAGACTACTTCAACTCCTTCGCTTACTCCTCCTTTCCTCGTTCTTCTACTTATCTCCTCTTTTGCCTGTCTCACTCTGCGCGTCTCCTATCTCCTACTCAGATCAATCAATTCTCTGAGCGTCGTTCATCATGCCTGCGCGCGAAAAGTTTGTCAAGCAGGGCTTGGTCGCCGAGTAAGTGTCCCCTTCCCATCCTTTTTGGCTCGCTCTACCTGTCCAGCTCTGGTCCAAACTAACTGACCCAGACACACCCATAGCCCAATGATCACGGTCGTCATTAGAAAGGACAAGCCACGATCTTACTACGGCGCCTACTACAGCGCTAGTATTATCACCGAAGCCGCTGAAACAGAAAACGGTACCTCTGCCACTGGTCCCGGTCCCAACACCGACACTGACTCTGCAATTCAAAAACAGCCAGCAATGTATTCTACATCAACCGCGACTTTCTGATCGAAAACTCGCGCTACTTCGCCATTGTTCTTGACACCACAAACACTAGTGTAACCAACCCACCCCGCACAATTGTCTACCCGCCCCAAACCGACGTTGAAATGTTTGCCCTCTGGCTCGATTCGGTCCTGCGCGGCGAGGCAGACAAGACTGTATTCAGCATCGACAACCCAGACCATCTGTACAAATGCTTCGAGTTCGCCGACTCCCTGGGCTCATACCAGTTCCGGAACCAAGTCATGGACGCGATTCAGCCATATGGTCCGGACAAGATCGACTTGAAGTACTATGTCAGTCTGCTGGAGAAGTATGGCAAGACCAAAAGTATGCACCTGTTCAAGGAGTATGCGCTTGAGTGTCTGGGTTATAGGATCACGCGCCGTGGTTGGGCGGATGTGGTGCCAAAGGACGCTGGTGCTGGTGCTGGTGCTGCTGGTGCTGCTGGTGCTGCTGGTGCGAATGACGCCGTTTCAATTGCATTCGTAGGTGCTGGAGCAGATGGATGGACAGGCCCAGGTCCCGCACCCACAGTACCCACGTCGATCCACCCTAGCCTTCTCAGCGTGATTTTTGCAAAAATCGAAGAGATCACTCGCAAGGAGAAAGAAAATCGGCTGGACGATCTGCGTGGAAGATCGTATTTCCCGCCAGACGAGAGGAAGGATTGCACTTGGCATGAACATACGGACAAGGATCGCGTCAAGTGTCCTGGATACTGGGCCCAGAAGCACAAGATCGGACCCCGGAGTTAGGGAAAGAAAGAACCTTGGACCGGCTTCATCTGTGCAGTGCCGCGTGGTGCTGTGCTGGTGAGCAACAGATCAGATCTTGGAAGCTGTGAGAGAGAGAGAATGGTGGTGGGTGCTTTGGGGCGAAATTCGCGACAGTGCTTCATCAGACAGACACTCTTGATCTCCGTCCCAACGACTGGGAGTGGAGAATTGTATTGATTAATTCTGAACGATCGGGCACCAAAAGAAGTGCTGGAAGATAGCTGAAAATGACAAAGAAACTCATACCTGCAAACCAGGCTGGTCACTCGGAATCATCACAGCTGCGGACTCGGTCCCGGCGTGACTGATGCTCGGCTCTGCAACTTGGACTAGGCTGAACCCAACTGCATTGACAGCATTGCATCGAGACGTCCCAGACAATACTAGTAGTACCTTAGCAGTTTCACATTCGTGGTTGTGCTGAGCGGAATCCCTAATTCCTCAAAGTGACCTGTAGATAAAACCCAGGCCTTGAGCAGTACGCGAACCCTACCTCATCCGGTGTGGTGAGGTGCGGCGACTCACAGAGCTGATTGACGATGTAGGTTCAAGTCAACTGTCTACATCCTCCCTACGCTCGAGACCAACCTCTAATACATTGCGCACTTCCAACGTTGCTGCCACGTGAGATGGCTTGCAAAGAGTCCAGCGGATATTCTCCTCGGTCCAGGAAGAATCGTCCAGTAGTAGCCGACTCCTGGAAAGTCGAAAATCTTTCAGCAGCGGCAACTCGACGTTTCTCCCAGTGCTGCGAGCATACTGCCATGGCATTCAACTTGATTAATGGCGGCAGACACCGAAGCCGAGGAGGGTGGTTCATCCTCGTTGTTTGGTGGCCATGGAAGCATGAATTACCATCGTGGTTCATACAGTAACAGCATTATGCGCATCAACCAGCCAAAGCCTTTCCGACCAACTCCTTAGCACGGTCACTGAGGTCCATGGCCAAAGCAAGTTCTTGTCCGCGTTTGCCCATCTTAACCCACGTCTTTTGCAGGATACTCACGATCTTATCTTCGTCATGCGCTTTCTCGAACTCGTCGAACTGGTCGTCCAGGAACACAAGACATGCGACATCCTCAATGACCTGTGCATCTGGGTCGCCTTTCCCCTCGCCCTTCTTGAGATCTTCCTTCGCGATCAGCGCCGCCACTTTGTCCGCCTCTTCTTCAGTGTAGTTGCATTCCAGACATAATTGCCTGACTTGCTCCGCTTGCCTCTTTTTCAAAAACGTCCGCCATGCAAAGTAGCCCGCTTTGGTCCGCGGATAGGTGTCGCGCGGAACCTCCCAGCGACGAAAATGCTGGGCTCGAGCAGCTGTCTTTAACAAAGGGCCTGCATCGGGGGTGTGCAGGTCGAGGTACTTGGTCATCTTCTGCGCATAATGTATCTCGTAGGGAACGGACGCGCCATTGTCTAGTTGGAGTGTATTCGGGTCTTCTTTGTGAGCCGCATCTATGAGTTCGAGTGCTTTATCAAGGTTTGGAGCCATTGCAGCTACAATCTGGTCGAAAAGTCACCCAAGATGCTGTCCACACGACGGTTATTACAAAATGGATGTTTTGATCGTGTCAATTGTCCATGAACCCACGCAATTGGAAAATGCACATATGTGATAGGCTGGCGATTAAATAAATGGGTATACAACATTGTAGTCAGGCATCGACGTCATCGCAAGGCACCGGCCAGAACAAAGCTGCCACTACTACTCATACTGGAGCCAGTGCACAAACTTGAATAAAGACATTCAGGAAGCTAGATGAATAAACATTGGACTGTTACGGAGTATCTCTTGCACAGGTTCATAGTAATCTCCCAATGTTCACTCGAAGTGAAGAATCGATGTCGAATGTCGAGAGAGGAATCTTCAAGAGACCTGATCTGCTACCACGGCGACTATATTGTCTGTCCTTCCACGTTCAACAGCATGAAGCATGATGCAATATTTGTAATTATGAATCATGCCCCTCCCTCTCTCTTCGCATACTCATCCTCAATCCTTTCTTCGTACTGCGCATCTGCCTCCTGCTTCGTCAATCTCTTCTGTTCCCCAGGATCGCCAGTTGTGATCCTGCCCTGTGCTGGCTGGTCTGCTGCACCCTCCGTAGTTTGAGACTGTTGACCTGCAGGAATCGTTGTCTTTGTCGTCGTGGTCTTCTTGTTGCTGGCCGAAGCACCCATTGACAGACTTCCTGAGACTGCGCCTGCCACCGAGGCCCAGGCTGATGCGACGGCATCAGAGGTTTTCTTGAGAATGCCGGCGTCGTCAGACATGGTTTAGGATGTTCTTGACAGAAAAGCGATCAAGCTGTTTGTAGGGTAGATGGATGGAAGTGTTGATAGTGCAAACCGCAGGAGGGGTTCCGCTGATGGTTTGTTGGCTCAGTATGAGCGGGGGCAACGGAGGAAGTGATCTGAGGTCTGGTCTGCAGCACGGGCCTCGCGGGATCAAGTACAACTGGGTTCTTGTAAAGATGGTAATCTCGGGGTCTAGAGGATCAAGCAATAAGCACGAAGAATGCTAGGGAGGGTAGAGTGGCCCGGTGTTGGAGAGTGATATAAGGTAAGGTATCTATAGGTAACAAGACTGCGGGTATGATGTATGCTCGCCAGCCTGCCGCAACTGCGCATATGCTAGGTAGTATTTGTAGGTACCCGAAAATCTAAACGCGCCTCTGCATTTCGTGCGGGTTGCGAGATCAATTGCCCATCTTCAGGTCTGTAGGGGGACGTAAGGAAACCGGTTTTTGCTGGGTCTCAGCCTCCGTGACCTCGCTGCAGTGCATGGTCGTAAGCCATCGATGTCATCAGATTTTGCCCGTCGGGCACTGCAGTGTAGGTGTCGGGGCTGATAGGCGCAGGCTGGCTCCGCGTTATAATGACAGCTTAGAAGCCTGCGATACGAGTATTTCTTGTCATTCGAAGGTACCCGGGCAGTTCTCAGCGACGAGACTGTATCGTTACGTACCAAGGCTGGGCGCAGCCGCGATTGGCATGCTTGACCACCGCTTCGAGTCTTTGGCCTAGACTGGGGGCTACGGCGAGTCTGTACTTTGTTCAAAGACCAGAGGAACAATGAGCAAGAAGTTCTCCCACACATCCCCATTGTTCAGCTACAGATCGATCCGCTAATAATTAATTGATTACCGTGTCCGCCAAAATCTGGGGAACCATTAGCCACGCACTGATTACGTAAGACATATCTGATTTGGACAAGGCTGTGCTCCCTGATATCCCTGAAAACCACAGCCTTGTCAACGACAGCCATACCGATGGCATCGAGGACATCGATTAACTCGACCATCGCAACCATCTGTCAACCATGCCGTACTTTGAGCGAAGAAGAGTCCCAGTGGAACAAGTTGAGTGTTTCAGTATGGCACCGTAGTCCTGCGTTCTGCCGCACATTGAGTATACGTGCAGTATTCGTTGCAAAGCCAGAGACTCGAGAAGTCATGTAGAGTATTCTTCTTTCCCGCTTACCGTTGTTTTCTCATTCTTCCTCCACTACTGCCTCCCTCATGGACCTGCTGGTTGTGCTCGCTGTGTTCAAAACCCTCGATTCACTTCACTTTCACCGCTCTAGCGTTGCGACTGATGGTTCTCTGGCGCCCTCCCAATGCGTCAACAACACTTCACTTCCACTTCACTTCCTATTGTTCCCGTGAAGACCATTCTGCCGCAGCCTTCACTAACCACCGCGTCCTGTGGCTTGGCGAGGCACAACATTGCCTGTGTTCAGGAACTGCGCCCTGCCATAAGTATTCCCTTCCTCTTCTCCTTCTCTCTCTCTTCTTCTTCTTCTTCTCCTTCCACCCTCAACACTTCCCAAGTCCTCAAGCTTTCCGTCTTCAGACCGATCGATTGCACCAGACAACCGGCAGTGTTATCAACTTCTCAAACCTCTTTCCTGGATCTTGTATCTTGGACTTTCCTCCACCTCTTCAGCTGAGACCTAAAGCTCCTTTTCGATTTTGATCGAAAGCTTGAATCAAGTCTCTCACCTGAAACCAAACCTTCTTCTTCTCTCTCAAACCTCATACCTCTTCTCGCAGCTTCAGATCGACAGGAAGACAACATCCTGCGAAGCGCAGTTTCTCTCACCCGAAACTTTTCTCTCTCATACAACTCTCATCAACATCATTTCTCTCCTGGTTTGCAAGCGCAGAAGACGCAACGCGGAACTTGGTTCAGACATAGGACCAGAAACCAGAACATCTCTCTCTCTCTCTCTCTCTCTCTCTCACTCATACCTCACTTCTCTCTCACCGACAAGATCTCTCTGCAAGCCACTAGACGCTCCGCAGCACTTGGTTCAGACATCAGACCCAACAATCTTGTCTCACGTACACATCTCTCTCATCATCAACATCTTTCTCGATCCTCTGCAAGCCACTAGACGCTCTGCAGCAGTTAGGTTCAGACCTCAGACCAGAAAGATAATCATCTCTCACTTGACTCTCACCGTCATCTCTCCTCTTGCAAGCGCAGAAGACGCTTAGCACCATCTCGGTTCAGACAGCAGGACCGTACCTTTTCAAACACTTCTCTCCTCAGACATCTGTCTCTCAACATCATCATCTCTCTTGCAAGCCACAAGACGCTTTGCAATAGCCTGGTTCAGAACATCAGAGCCAACAATATTCTCTCTCACACAAAATCTCTCTCCTCCCTGCAAGTACACAAGATACTTTGCAGTAGTTCGGTTCAGACATCAGGGCCGCAACATCCTCTCTCATACATCTCTCTCATCAAC